CGCAAGTGCACTTTATAACAACTCTAGCACAAGTGCACTTTATAGCATTAACACAAGTGCACTTTACAGCTTGTTCAGCGCAAGTGCATTTTATAACAACTTTAGCACAAGCGCACTTTATAGCATTAACACAAGTGCACTTTACAGCTTTTGCTACACTGGAAGGAATAGATAGCATTAAGAGGTGGGAATATTGGGACCCAGAGACGGATAATCAGCGCTATGAGTAGGAAGGATGAAAGGGTGGAAGGAGAAAGAGGGAGAGAGGGAAGGAAAGAAAGATAAAAAGGGAAGGAAGGATGAAAGGGTGGAAGGAGAAAGAGGGAGAGAGGGAAGGAAAGAAAGATAAAAAGGGAAGGAAGGAAGGAGAAGGAAGGAAGGAAGGAAGGAAGGAAGGAAGGAAGGAAGGAAGGAAAGGGTGGAAGGAGAAAGAGGGAGAGAAGGAAAGAAAGATAAAAGGGAAGGAAGGAAGGATGAAAGGGTGGAAGGAGAAAGAGGGAGAGAGGGAAGGAAAGAAAGATAAAAAGGGAAGGAAGGAAGGATGAAAGGGTGGAAGGAGAAAGAGGGAGAGAGGGAAGGAAAGAAAGATAAAAAGGGAAGGAAGGAAGGATGAAAGGGTGGAAGGAGAAAGAGGGAGAGAGGGAAGGAAAGAAAGATAAAAAGGGAAGGAAGAAGGAAAGGGAAGGAGAAGGAGAAGGAAGGAAGAAAATAAAAAGGAAAGAAAGGAGAGGGAAGGAGGAAAGAGGGAGGGAGGGAGAAGAAAGGAAAGGAAGGAAGGAAGGAGGAAGGGGGGAGGAAAGAGGAGAGAGGGAGAAAGAAAGAAAAAGGGAAGGAAGGATGGAAAGGTGGAGAAAAGAGGAGAGAGGAAGGAAGAAGAAAAGGGAAGGAAGGAAGGAGAAAGGGGGAAGGAAGAGGGGAGAGGGAAGGAAGAAAGAAGGAAGGAAGGAAGGAAGAAAGGGAAGGAGAAAGAGGGAGAAGGGAGGAAAGACAAGAAAAGGAGAAGAGGAAAGGGAGGAGAAAGGAGAGGGAAGAAGAAAGAAAAGGGAAGGAAGAGGGAAGGAGAAAGAGGAGAAGGAGAGAAGAGAGAAAAGGAAGGAAGAGAAGGGGGGAAGGAGAAAGAGGGAGAGGGAAGGAAAGAAAGATAAAAGGGAAGGAAGGAAGGATGAAAAGGTGGAAGGAAAGAGGGAAGGGGAGGAAAAAAGAAAAAAGAAGGAGAGGAAAGGGGAAGAGAAGAGGAAGAGGGAAGGAAAAAGAGAAAAAGGGAAGAGGGAGGAGAAAAGGGTGGAATCGGAAGGGGAGAGGAGAAAGAAAGATAAAAAGGGAAGGAAGGAAGGATGAAAGGGTGGAAGGAGAAGGAGGGAGAGAGGGAAGGCATTTTAGAACTACTTCAGCACGAAGTCACTTTAATCTAAGCTAGATCCTGCTTGAACCCACATCATTATTCTAAGCACTCTAGATCTTGCTAGATCCTATACCTCTACTAAGTGGTCCAAAATCCCAGGTCAAGTGGTCATAGCCATTGCACTTTATGTTCTGTTCTTGGGTTCCTGTTAACTGTTAACATCAGCATACTACCTCTAGGTCAATGTTTACTTCACCTTTGCTGCTATTGATATCCCTCCAATTTCCAGCGCAAGTGCACTTTATAACAACTCTAGCACAAGTGCACTTTATAGCATTAACACAAGTGCACTTTACAGCTTGTTCAGCGCAAGTGCATTTTATAACAACTTTAGCACAAGCGCACTTTATAGCATTAACACAAGTGCACTTTACAGCTTTTGCTACACTGGAAGGAATAGATAGCATTAAGAGGTGGGAATATTGGGACCCAGAGACGGATAATCAGCGCTATGAGTAGGAAGGATGAAAGGGTGGAAGGAGAAAGAGGGAGAGAGGGAAGGAAAGAAAGAAAAAGGGAAGAAGGAAGGATGAAAGGGTGGAAGGAGAAAGAGGGAGAGAGGGAAGGAAAGAAAAATAAAAAGGGAAGGAAGGACGAAAGGGTGGAAGGAGAAAGAGGGAGAGAGGGAAGGAAAGAAAGATAAAAAGGGAAGGAAGGAAGAAAAGGTGGAAGGAGAAAGAGGGAGAGAGGGAAGGAAAGAAAGATAAAAAGGGAAGGAAGGAAGGAAAGGGAGAGAGGGAAGGAAAGAAAGAAAAAGGGAAGGAAGGATGAAAGGGTGGAAGGAGAAAGAGGGAGAGAGGGAAGGAAAGAAAGATAAAAAGGGAAGGAAGGAAGGATGAAAGGGTGGAAGGAAAAAGAGGGAGAGAGGGAAGGAACATCCTGTGGGAGGCTTCTCTCATATCCCCGCATGAGAAGCTGGAGCTGACAGACAGGAGCTCATCCCGGTGTCCGGATTCAAACTGCTGACCTTTTGGTCAGCAGGCCTGCCGGCACAAGGGTTTAGCACTTAGACTGATTCCTTATCAGGATGCATCTGCACCATAGAATGAATGCAATCTGACGTCATTTTTAATTGCCATGGCTCAATGCTATGGAATCCTTGGATCTGTAGTTTGGTGAAGCGCCAACACTCCTTTGCCAGAAAAAGGCCAAAAAAACCTTGTAAAACTGCAGCTCTCATGATTCAATAGCAGTTAAAGTGGAGTCAAACTGTCAAACTAAAGTGTAGAATGATGCACCTTGCGGCTGGGTCGAACTGCATTATATGGTAGTGAGGATCAAGTGTATATCACCCAATGTTTGGGTTGGTTGGAGAGAACAAGGAAAGCTGTTCCTTTTGCTGCTTCCTTCACTTTTTACAAGTTCTTCCTGGCTTACTCAAACACCCTCGGCACTGTTCAGACATGCGGTTGCACCCACAGCCGTCAACGGGGAAATTCCAGATTGCAAAATCCTCCCGGCCCAGAGATAGGTGGAAAGCCGTGCGACAAAGCGCGTCTGCGTTTTATTCTCGACTGTCATCGCTTTTCAGAATTTAATCTGCATTAGTAAAAAAGGAAGTCACCCCAAGGCTGATCTCACTCACCCCATCATAGTTTGGAGCTTATGATGATGGCACAGTTCCCTTTTTTAAAGATAGCCATGACACCTGCGGGTTAATATTGCTCCTTTTAAGGTAAATTCAAAACAAGGAAATAAGCAATCATCATTATCATCGATACATCTATACGTTGTACTGGGTTCTGGCACAGCAGGTTGGGAGTCAGCTGCATTAAAAATAACTACTGACTGAAACGTCATGAGTTCAAAGCCAGCCCGGGTTGGAGTAAGCTCCTGACCATTTGTCTAGCCTGCTGTCGACCTTTGCAGCCCAAAAGACAGTTGCATCTGTCAAGTAGGAAATTTAGGTACCACTTATGTGGTTAGGCTAATTTAACTAATTTATGACGCCATAAAACTCTCCAGCAGAGTGCAAAAGAATGAGGAAGTACTCCATCAGTATCAGAAGTGAAGCAACAGCTCCCCTGGTGGCTGGAATTCAAAAAGCATACCCTCATGAAACTGGAAAATTAAATAGGCGCTGTGTGTCTGTCTATATATGTTGTGTGCCTATGGCATTGAATGTTTACCATGTATATGTGCATTGTGATCCGAGGGTTGACCATGGATGATGGGACTTGCAGTCCCATCACTCACTTACTGAAACCACTGCGACCCTGAACTAATGACTGATCAAGACCAAACTTGGCACACAGAGCCCCCACGACCCTATCTACATCCTGATTCAGTTTGGAGGAGGGTGGATCATGGATGATGGGACTTGCAGTACCTTCACTCACTTGCTGAAACCACTACCACCCTCATTCAATGACTGATAAAGACCAAACTTGGCACACAGAGCCCCCATGACCCACTCTATATCCTGCTGCTGTTTGAAGGAGGATGGACCATGGATGATGGGACTTGCAGTACCTTCACTCACTTGCTGAAACCACTACTACCCTCATCCAATGACTGATAAAGACCAAACTTGGCACACAGAGCCCCCATGACCCACTCTATATCCTGCTGCTGTTTGGAGGAGGGTGGACCATGGATGATGGGACTTGCAGTACCTTCACTCACTTACTGAAACCACTACCACCCTCATCCAATGACTGATAAAGACCAAACTTGGCACACAGAGCCCCCATGACCCACTCTATATCCTGCTGCTGTTTGGAGGAGGCTGGACCATGGATGATGGAACTTCAAGTACCTTCACTCACTTCCTGAAAACAATGCAACCGTCATCCAATGACCAATAAAGACCAAACTTGGCCTACAGAACCACCATTACCCACTTTCTCTAATAACCCGGGCAGCACCGGGTCCCCAAGCTAGTACTGTAAATAAATAAATGACATCTATACACATAATAAAAGTGAAAATCTGCATGTGGAAAAAATGGGGTTTATATATCTGTGGAATAATGTCCAGGGTGGGAGAAAGGACTCTTGTCTGTTTGAGGTAGATGCGAATGTTGCAATTGGCCACCGTGATTAGAATTGAATGGCCTAGCAGTTTCAAGGTCTAGCTTCTTATTGCCTAGAGGAATCCTTTGTTGGGAGGTGATTAGCTGGCCCTGATTGTTTCCTCTCTGGAATTCCCCTATTTTTGAGTGTCGCTCTTTGTTTACCCATTTTCCTAGTTTCCAACAGACCTCACAACCTCTGAGGATGCCTGCCATAGATGCAGGCAAAACGTCAGGAGAGAATGCTTCAGGAACATGGCCATACAGCCTGGAAAACTCACAACAACCCAATGATTCCGGCCATGAGAGCCTTTGACAGCTCCAGAAGTGATCTCCAATGGGAATAAAGTTTGTGAAAGGCATTTAAAGATACTTTAATCCACTCTTTTTTCTCTCTCTCCCCACGTTCCTCTTGCATTACTATTTCATTTATCGCAAGGCTAAAGGCAGGTTTTGAAGTCCCACCCTGTGGAACGCCTTGAATCAATACAGATCTGTCTCGAAATTTGGAAAATGTAAGCGACACATCAGCCTTAAAATGTCACTTGAGGTTCTGCCCTTGGTTTTCCATTCCTGTCGTCTTACCTTGAAAATCGGAGTCCTCTTCTTAAAGTCCCCTCGTCCCTGTGCTGAAAAAGTTATAAACAAGTCCAAATGTGGGGCAAAAGAAATGACTGTTGTATTTGTTTGTTTTCTCTGGGAAATTCCCTTCATAATTTATCGCCCGCCCTCTTGGCCTTCGAAGACGTCCGGCAACTGTAGTGCCATCTAGTGAAAGCCTCGGCGATTCGACAATACAATGCCCCAAATAGACTAAAAAAAGTTTCTTAACAACCAAACCGATGTCTCAGTTGCTGTCAGTTTCCCAGGCTGTATGGCCATGTTCCAGAAGCACTCTCTCCTGATGTTTCACCCACATCTATGGCAGGCATAGAATCATAGAATCAAAGAGTTGGAAGAGACCTAATGGGCCATCCAGTCCAACCCCCTGCCAAGAAGCAGGAATATTGCATTTAAATCACCCCTGACAGATGGCCATCCAGCCTCTGTTTAAAAGCTTCCAAAGAAGGAGCCTACACCACACTCCAGGGCAGAGAGTTCCACTGCTGAACGGCTCTCACAGTCAGGAAGTTCTTCCTCATCCTCAGAAGTTGTGAGGTCGGTTGGAAACTAGAAAAATTGGGTTTATATATCTGTGGAATAATGTTCAGTGTGGGAGAAGGAACTCTTGTCTGCTTGAGGCAAGTGTGAATGTTGCAAACTGGCCACCTTGATTAGTATTTAATGGCCTAGCAGTTTCAAGGTCTGGCTTCTTACTGCCTGGGGGAATCCTGTGTTGGGAGGTTATTTATTTCTCGTGTCAGGGCAGCCAGTCAGTTATATTACATTTCTAACAGAACAAAGCAAACAAACAGAGAAAATACAAAATGTGTGAGTTTGGTAGTTGATTAAATGTCCTTTGACCAGTAGCTGGCCACTTGGAGTGCCTCTGGTGTTGCTGCAGAAGCAACCAGCATGTTGGGAGGTGATTAGCTGGCCCTGACTGTTTCTTGTCTGGAATTCACCTGTTTTTGAGTGTTTTTGTTTTTTATTTACTGTCCTGATTTTAGAGTTTTTAAATACCGGAAGCCAGATTTTTTTTCATTTTCATTTTTTTTTTCTTTCTGTTGAAATTGTTCACATGCTTGTGGATGTCAGACTACACAGAGAATAATAATAATAATAATAACAATAATAATAATAATAATACTTTATTTATATCCCGCTACCATCTCCCCAAGGGACTCGGTGTGGCTTACATGAGGCCGAGCCCACAGTACAACAATAATAAAGCAATAGCAAACAAACAATACAAAACAGTTAAAATATAACTCATAAGCAAAAACAAAAATAAACAATACAGTAACACAACAAGCATTTAAAAACCTATGGCTGGGCCAAATGTAAAATTAAAATTTAAAAATAATGCTAGGCATGAGTAAGGTAGGAGATAACTGGGATAGAAATTTTCGGAGGGTATAGGGCGTGCAAATCAATCCTAAATCAATAATAAAGTGCATTTTGAGGACATATTGCTCTGAAATCCACAAGAAGCATGTGGACAATTTCAACAGAAAGGAAGAAACCATGAAAATGAACAAAATCTGGCTACCAGTATTAAAAGAACTCTAAAATCAGGACAGTAAATAAAAAAGGAATAAATAAAGTAAATAAAGAGGAACACTCAAAAAGCAGGGGAATTCCTGACATGAAACAATCAGGGCCAGCTAATCACCTCCCCTAGGCAGGAAGCAGCCAGGCCTTGAAACTGCTAGGCCATTAATTGCTAATCAAGGTGGCCAATTGCAATATTCACCCTTGCCTCAAACAGACAAGAATTCTTTGTCCCACCCTGGACATTATTCCACAGATATATAAACCCCATTTTCCTAGTTGTAATGAACAATACTAAAAAACAGGAGAATTCCAGACTAGAAATAATCAGGGCCAGCTAACACCTCCCAACAAAGGATTTCTCCAGGCAGCAACCAGCCAGGCTTTGAAGTTGCAAAGCCATTCAATGCTAATCAAGGTGGCCAATTGCAACATTCACACACATGCCTCCAACAGACAAGAGTCCTTTCTCCCACCCTGGACATTCCACAGATATATAAACCCCACTTGCCTAGTTTACAACAGACCCCTCAACCTCAGAGGATGCCTGCCATAGATGTGGGCAAAACGTCAGGAGAGAGTGCTTCTGGAACATGGCCATACAGCCCAGAAAACTCACAACAACCCACTCATTTATTACCATTTGAAATATAGTGAAGATGAAATGTATTCTTTGCTGTATCTCTGCTCTATAATGGTAATATAATGATCTTTGGACATATCCGTGCCTTCAAGTAAACATAGTCTTACAGTATAATGCATCTGATAATTTATAACACACCACCAGCAGCATTATATAAAACTGATAACGCCAAGGTTTCTTTTTTATCAGCTCAGACTAAGATATCCCGGAGGGCAGAGGGAAGATCAGGGAACGCAAAGCAGTAGCCGCTCTCCAGAGTCCGCTTGGGCTCCACTCGCTGCCCTTCCAGCAACATGATGCTTCGTTCGGGGCCAAAAATGGCCGAAACGGCAAAACCCGGCAGGGGCAACAGGGCGGGCCGCCTGAGCACTGACCCCATCGCTTGGGCAAAGTCCTTATTTGTGGTGGTAACAGCAGTTGGTGAGACGCCATTCAGGATCCCGCTGACTCCTTCCCGTTCCAACGCATGGGCCAAAATGCCCGCCAAATCCGCCACGTGGATCCAAGGAAAAGGCTGGCGGCCAGAGGCGATGGGCCCTCCCAGGCCGAGGCGAAAGGGCCACAGCATTTGGGCGATGGCACCGCCATCTCTGCCCAGCACAACACCTGTGTGCAAGGAAAGGAACAATAGCCATTTAGAGAGTAATGTTTAGTTCTGAGAACTTTCCACGTCATTTTATTTATACCCTGCCCCATCTTCCAACAAGGGACTCAAAGCGGCTTATGGTCATAAAACATAGTAGATAACATCAAACAAAATAAGTAACATATCAAATTTATTATTATTATTATTATTATTATTATTATTATTATTATTATTATTATTATTTTACTGACACAAAAACACAGTATGTCACAGCAAACGAGATCTATACGAGATTTCGTATCACAAAATCACAAGTCGAACACTTCCTAAGCATCTAGGACTGTGTGATGTATTTTCGAATGATGCGTGCAGATCCAAGTAAGGTGGCCTTTTGCAGTTGACAGAACATAATTTTGTCAATGTTTATTGTTTCCAAATGCCGCTGAGATCTTTTGGCACGGCACCCAGTCTGCCGATGACCACTGAGACCACCTGTACTGGTTGTTGTTGTTGTTGTTGTTGTTGTTATTATTACTACTATTATTATCTTTTCACCACCAATTATGTTTAAGTGCAGGCCAAGGTCTTTAGCCACTGCACCCAATGTGGCTATCACTACTGGGACCACACTGACTGGCTTGTTGTTGTTGTTATTTGAAACACAACAAGATAAATCCACAACAAACAAGATCACTCTGCTGGCTGTTGTATTGGATCACACGTCAGACACTTCCCAAGTGTATAGGATGGTGTGATGTATCAGCAAATAATGTGTGCATATCCCAGTATGGTGGCCTTTTGCAGCTGACAGATGGTAATTTTGTCAGCGCCAATTGTGTTTAAGTGCAGGCCAAGGTCTTTACGCACTGCACCCAGTGTGCCGATCATCACTGGGACCACCTTTACTGGCTTGTGCCAGAGTCGTATTATTATTATTATTATTATTATTATTATTATTATTATTATTATTATTTGAAACACAACAAGATGAATTCACAGCAGACAAGATCACTCTGCTGGCTGTTGTATTGGATCACATGTCGGACACTTCCCAAGTCTCTAGGACTGTGTGATGTATTGGTGAATAATGCGTGCAGATCCCAGTAGGGTGGCCTTTTGCAGCTGGCAGATGGTAATCTTGTCAGCGCCGCTTGTGTTTAAGTGCAGGCCACTTAAATAATTATTGATAAATAAATAATTTGATAATTATTAATAATTAATTTAAATAAATAAATAAATAATATTGATAATATTAATAATTAAATAAATAAATATTGATAAATAAATAATTAAATTATTGTTGTTATATATCAAATTTAAAACAATCACAAAATCAACACAATCCAACCAATGCATTAATAAAGGATGCTCAACCCATCCAATTATACTTTGAGCAATCAGCCTATCCTGTGCTTCGTCTCACCAGATCTCACAACTGCTTGGCGTGTGACATCACCAGGGATTCGAGCCACTGCTTCCCAGCGAGTTACTAGGCGAGAGAAGAAATCGAAATCTCCACCAGGACTGTCTTCTGTGTATTTTGTGGTGTGGCTGGGCCGGTAATATCCTAGATAAAACATTTCACAAACATTTTATTAAGGTACATAGGAGACCTACCACCTTGCACTGCTGCACACAGATGTTTTCTCTATAATTGTGACTTAATGACCTTGTTTTTCTTAACACTCTTAAAACAGGAAGCATTTCGTAAAAGGAGCTTGCAGCAAAATAACAGTTCAGTTAATCACAAGGTGGTGATTTGTCCCCAGAAAACACGATAGCCCTAGGGTTGCCTAAAGTTGAAAACAATTTGAAGACACACAACAACAATCAGGTGATCGTGACATTTTCTTGGCATTTGTTCAGAGACTATTTGCCCTTGAGTTCCTCTGAGGCTGAGAGAGTACGACTTGTACAATGGCTTTCTATGATCAAAGAAGGATTTCAACCATGATGTCCTGTGTCATAGTCCAACATTCAAAGCAATATACCCCACTGTCTCTCATATATGCTACAACCCACCTTGAGCTAAGGATTATCATATCCTTTCCTCAAGCCGGGCATGCACAAACCGATGTCGTCTAGCTCACTGCTTTTTAAAGTGTGGGTCCCAACCACAAATTAGGTCCCCTTTAGCCCAATTTTTTGGTCACGAAAAATTTGGCAACAATAAAAGGTTAACTGAATAATAATAATAATAATAATAATAATAATAATACTTAAAAACAATAAATAATTACTGGGTTGTTGTAGTTTTTTTCGGCTATATGGCCATGTTCTAGAGGCATTCTCTCCTGACGTTTCGCCTGCATCTATGGCAAGCATCCTCAGAGGTAGTGAGGATGCTTGCCATAGATGCAGGTGAAACGTCAGGAGAGAATGCCTCTAGATCATGGCCATATAGCACAAAAAAACCTACAACAACCCAATAATAATAATAATAATAATAATAATATGGCACAAGCCAGTAAAGGTGGTCCCAGTGGTGATTGGCATACTGGGTGCAGTGCCTAAAGACCTTGGCCTGAAGCTTAAGCGGCTGAGGGGGAAAAGGCAAGGGCCTGAGGCTGTTAGGAATTGTGGGAGTTGAAGTCCAAAACACCTAGAGGGCCAAAGTTGGCCCATGCCTGATTTAGGTCCTTGTTGTATACTATCTGAAATGTATGGTGTTTACTTGTTAACCCATGTAATAAAATTAAGCGGAAATCAACAGGAAAGTGGGGAATGTCTAATTTCACACTTTTGCACCATGAACTTATTTTTCTTGTTGTCCCCGTTAAACTTTTTCCAGACTCGTGTCTTCAACCACATCACCTTCTGTCCTTCTCTGTTTCGTAACCCCTATTTCCTTTCAGATGCCTTGCGTATCTTCCTTCCTGCTGACTTCACGCATTACCCTTTGTCCCCAGGTGTTTTCCTCGGTTTTCTTCCTCCAAAGCTTCCCCTTATATAACCTGTGCCATTGGTCAACACTCTTCTAATAATGCCTTCAACCTCAGAAGCTGGAATATCTGGGAGCGTTCCAAAACATCACAGCAATTTGTTTAAAGGTTGGCTTTGGCCAGAAATAGGCAAGTGACATTTGAATTTTAATACGCACCTATCGTTTTGGCTAAGTCTCCTTGGTTTTTCTTACAGGATACATCAGTAGTTGATTCAATAGTGGAAGAACCATATGGGCTGATATCTCTAACACAGTTTCTAACTGAAGGTGTATCTACACCAGTGGTTCCCAACCTTTTTTTGACCAGGGACCACTTTGACCAGGGACCATTAGTACCGAAAGGGTAACGAATCAGTTTTTGGTCAGCTTTAGATTCGGTTTGTTTATTTGGGGTGTTGATTCAGAAAATTGCATTGGATAGACCACATCAGCTCTAGTTTCTGATACAGAACATATGTCATCCAATAGTCACTATCTGCTCGCCCACCATCTATATAAATAAAAATGTAATGTTTGTTTGTGGGATTAACATAACTCAAAAACCACTGGACGAATTGATGCCAAATTTGAACACAATACACCTATCAGGCCAACAAGTAACCATCACCCATAAAAGCACAGCAGAAGAGACTTAAAAAAAACACAGCAGAAGAGACTTAAAAAGCCAAAAAATAAAAATTACATTATAATGCATGTGCAAAACCACATATACGCATGTATATACACACACAAAACACATATACATAGACTGGGCCACAGCAACGCCTGGCAGGGGACGGCTACTATTTAATAAGCCTCGGCACTATAATGAGATTTTGCAAGACCAATCGCTCTTGTTGCAACAGTGTAGTGACAGTGAGGCTGTGGATCATATTATAGTTCTTGCAGACCACTGGTGGTCTACAGACCACAGGTTGGGAACCACTGATCTACACTGTGGAATTAATGCAGTTTGACACCTCTTTAACTGCCATGACACAAAGCTAGAGAATTCCAAGAGCTGCGGTAGTACAAGCTCTTTAGCCTTCTCTGCCAAATAGGTTTGGTCCTTCAGCAAATTAAGTCTCTCATGAGTCATGATACTGTTCCATGGCAGTGAAAGTGCAGATGTCTCCTGCATATGTCATCAGTTGGGGACCCCTCCTCCCAGAGTGGTTTGGGCCAGAGTGAAGAAAGAGGGGGGCAGAAGGCAGTTCCACCTTGTCTCTTGTGCTATGCTAATAATATAATGTAATGAAATGTAATGTAATGTACTGTATATAATATAATATTTATAATATTATAATGTAATGCAATATAATACTACTAATATGATATTATAATTATATATTTATATTACATGTAATATTACGAATAATATTACAATATAATGGGATAGTACAATATAGTAATATTTAATACTGATATTGTACTATGCTAATAATATAATATATTTACAGCAGGCACTGGATGTGTATTTATTTATTTATTTATTTACTGTCCTTGTATACCGCCGTTTCTCAGCCTAACTGGCGACTCAACGCGGTTTACAACAAAATATACAGTGCACAGTATACAATTAAAACCATAAAAACATAATACACAATATTACACGTAAATCACAATCCAATACATCTCCTAACTAAAATCGTGGTCCAATTGCATCATCCATATTACCAATCCGTAATCAACACATTCATTGCACCGAATTAACCAAATGCCTGCTTGAACATCCAAGTTTTTAGTCTTCTTCGGAATACCATCAGCGAGGAGGCTGATCTTACCTCCATGGGAAGGGCGTTCCAGAGCCGAGGGGCCACCACAGAAAAGGCCCTGTCTCTCGTCCCCGCCAGCCGCACCTGTGAAGCAGGCGGGATAGAGAGCAAGGCCTCCCCAGAAGATCTTAGGGTCCTGGTGGGCTGATAGGCCGAGATACGTTCGGATAGGTAGGTTGGGCCAGAACCGTTTAGGGCTTTAAAGGCCAACGCCAGCACTTTGAATTGAGCCCGGTAGCAAATCGGCAGCCAGTGGAGCTGGTGCAGCAGAGGAGTTGTATGCTCCCTGCGCTCCGCTCCTGTTAGTATCATGGCTGCCGACCGTTGGACTAATTGGAGCTTCCGAGCCGTCTTCAAAGGCAACCCCACGTAGAGAGCGTTGCAGTAGTCTAAACGGGATGTAACCAGAGCGTGGACTACCGTGGCCAAGTCAGACTTCCCAAGGTACGGGCGCAGTTGGCGCACAAGTTTTAACTGTGCGAATGCTCCCCTGGTCACCGCCGAAACCTGGGGTTCCAGGCTCAGCGATGAGTCCAGGATCACACCCAAACTGCGAACCTGCGTCTTCAGGGGGAGTGCGACCCCATCCAACACAGGCTGTAACCCTATACCCTGTTCGGCCTTGCGACTGACCAGGAGTACCTCTGTCTTGTCTGGATTCAATTTCAATTTGTTCGCCCCCATCCAGACCGTCACAGTGGCCAAGCACCGGTTCAGGACCTCGACAGCCTCCTTAGTGACAGGTGGGAAGGAATGACAGAGTTGAACATCATCTGCGTACAAATGACATCGCACCCCGAAACTCCGGATGATCTCACCCAGCGGCTTCATGTAGATGTTGAACAACATGGGAGACAATATTGAACCCTGAGGAACCCCACAAGACAAAGGTTGTGGGGTTGAACAGGAGTCTCCCAGTAACACCTTCTGAGACCGACCCTCGAGGAATGAGCGGAGCCACTGTAAAACAGTACCTCCAAGACCCATTCCCGCGAGGCGTCCCAGAAGGATACCGTGGTCGACGGTATCGAAGGCTGCTGAGAGGTCCAGCAGCACCAACAGGGACACACTCCCCCTGTCGAGCTCCCGGCGCAGATCATCGACTAAGGCGACCAAAGCTGTCTCGGTACCATGCCCCGGCCTAAAGCCAGACTGTGCCGATTAAAACTAGTCCTTCCGGAGGTGGAACAGTGGACGCGATGGTAGGCGTCACATGGATGGCAGAGATTCGACACACGTTGCACACAGGATGATAACGCCCCAAGGCAGAGGAATGGTCGGTCAACACAGTTAGTCCATATAACGTACAACACACAATCGGTCAACACAGTCAGTCCGCACAACGGATTGCGCAGCACAGTCAGTTGACAAGCAACACAGGCGTCAGGGCGTGTAATCAGTCAACACAGGCGGCCACAGGTGGAAGTGTAGGCAAGTCGCCAGTTCCCAAGGCCGCGACCGAGTCTCTGCCTTCGAAGAAGATGGCCGCAGTGAGAAGCCAGGCCTCCCTGAGCTTGAGACGTCCAGAAGCCTGGAGCGGCGAGAAGCGCCAGCTCCGCCGAATGCCCGGAGCCAAGGCCAAGATGGTCAGGTGAAAGGCCAGCCAACTGACGAAAGGATGGCACGAAGAAAAGCCAGCCTTCCTTGGGCCAGGGGGTGTTGATGGACCGATAGGCCACAAGGGACGCCGGAACGCCGAGGCGCGAACAACGAGGTGCCAACCGGAAACCAGGCCGAGAGCAACCAGTGTGCCCGGTCCCCCAGCAACAACAGCGGTCGCGACGACACCAGGCGCAGTCCGCTTCCCCCGAAGATCCAATGGGCAGCAAGCGACAAGGGGGCGAGAGCCGGCCCCGCGGCCGTAAAACCGCTGGGCAGCCGGACCGCCAAGGTGGTGGCGCCTGGAGCAGCGGAGGAACGGCGCGCCGGCAGCGAAGCAAAGCGCCAAGCCGGACTGAGCGACGAGCGCACTGGCGCCGGGCCGAACGCCGAGCGACACAGTCAGGGCAGCGCCTCGATAGGCCTTCCTGCAGGCCCTCCTGTGGCAATGGCGTCCGCGGCAACTGCAAGGTTCTGATTCCTCCCGATGGTGAGGGGGGCGGTCGGAGGGCCAACACACCTCCCGGGTCGTGGCTCGGTCGAGGGGTTGGGTGGTCTAGCAGTCGCAGTCCCAACTGGGAGGGAACGCTCTTATTAGGCCCTGGATGGAGACGGCCTTATTAGGCCCTAGCTGGAAAAGGCCTCGGCGTTCTACCTCCCTTCTCCTCCCGTTTCCTTATCACTCCTTTAACTCCGATGAAAACTCGCCAAACTCGCCAAAAAAGCTCCACCAAGGGCTCCTTCGAGTCCCTGGGAGCTGGTGGCGGCGATTGGAGAATTGGGGGAGTCTGGGTGGGGGGAGATTGAGGTCAGATTAGATAGTCTCACCGGACCGCTCTGCAACCCAGATGTTAGATCTCCGCCATCTTAACCGGAATCCACTGAGCAAGAAGTCCTAGGAGCGGGCTGGAGATGTTTGATGCCCCTTCACAGCAAGCACAGCAGACGCAGTCCCTGGCAGGCCAGTGGGCTTAGCTTTATGGAAGTAGAGGCCTCCTTGCAGTTGCTGAGCCACACCTCGCTGGAGGAGACCTGGGCTGCTGGCTACTCACAAGGAGTCCTGGGAGCAGGGTAGAGATGTTTGATGCCTCTTCACAGCTAGCACAGCAGACTCAATCCCTGGCAGGCCTGTGGGCTCAGCTTTATGGCAGTAGAGGCCTCCTTGCAGTTGCTGAGCCACACCTCACTGGAGGAGGCCTGGGCTGCTGGCTACTCACAAGGAGTCCTGGGAACAGGCTGGAGATGTTTGCTGCCTCTTCACAGCTAGCACAGCAGACTCAGATATATATATATATATATATATATATATATATATATATAAATAAATAAAAGTGGTGCCAAACTGCAGTAATTCTACAGTGTAGATGTACCATTTTGGACAAAAAACCATTTCTGATGACACTCAAGTGGTTACCTACGCCGGTGACCAGGACCCAGGCTTGAGGTGGGTGTTCAGCCCCAGCAATGGCTTTTGCCAAGGCTTTTGTAGTCTCTATCCGGCTGGCAACGACCTCCTGGCAAAAGGATTCATTCCACCTGCAAGAGCAAGAAAAACAACCAAGGAGCCATATCTCATATTATTTGGCTCTCTACTCCCAAACAAAACAACAGAGCAACTAACCCCACCACTATTTAATATTTGTTTTAGAAACTATATATAAAACCCACTTGCCTAGCTTGCAACAGACCTCACACATCTGAGGATGCCTGCCATAGACGGGGGCGAAACATCAGGGCAGAATGCTTCTGGAACATGGCCATACAGCCTGGAAAACTCACAGCAACCCAATCCCCTTCCATATTGTTTCTCAAGTGTTGAAGAACTTACCTTCGGAGGGGGTTGAGGACATTTTCTCCAGAAAGGTTGACGACCCCTTCACATGGAGGGAGCCCCAAGCGGGAAAGTTCATCCTGGGAAACACGGAGGGAGAAACAGTAACACAGAAAACAGGCTTTACACAGGTTCAACTTCACTAATACTGGCAATCTTTTAATTGCTTCGAGGTACACTTTATACTGGAGCCCCTGGTTAATTGCTGAGGTGCTGAATTTGCTGACCAAATGGTTGACAGTTCCAAATCCGGGGAGCGGGTGAGCTCCTGCTGTTAGCACCAGCTTCTGCTAACCTAGTCGTTGAAAACATGCAAATGTGAGTAGATCAATAGGTACTGCTTCGGAGGGAAGGTAACAACGCCCCATGCAGTCATGCCGGCCACATGACCTTGGAGGTGTCTATGGACAACGTCAACTCTTCAGCTTAGAAATGGAAATGAGCACCAGCCCCCAGAGTCAGACACTACTAGACTTAACGTTAAGGGGAAACCTTTACCTTTTCCACATATGGCTCCATGTGCAATGGCCATTTAATGCAGTTTCAAACCAGTACTGGAGAAAGTGGCTTCGCTGTGCAGATGATTAAATCACAAATTCCAGAACTAGTCAGAGGACTGGATAGTGATAATACATACCACAGAACATTAGTGCACATTAAAGTCTTTCTTTCCTGCTCTTTTGTGGGAGTTTGTTATCTGGTTGCCACAGCTTGAAGCTAACTTTGAACTGCTTTAAATAGTCAGTATAAATGGGACCACAGTTCCAGGTAGAATCAAAGCCCACGTCACATACCCAGGTAACTCGGTTCTTTCCGGGACTGCGGGAAACCAGGGTAACTTCATGTCCTCGGTCCTTCAACAACCGGGTTAAGGCTCTGCCAACAAATCCAGACCCACCACCTAATGGAAATACAGGTATGTAATTCATAAAGGTTATCAAATTTAACGTTCTATGTATTGATGTGTTTTTGTTAGATATCATTTTTGTGATATGTTTTTTTATTTTAGAGAAATGTGTATATATGTCTATAGGTAAATATATATATAGCTTTGGATGTCTTTTTAGATGTCTGGATGCCTGTTTTAGTCTCGGTGTTTAAATTATTGTGATTTTACATTGTTTGTCTATTATATTGTTTTTGTATTTTATTTTTTATTTTTATATTTTATTGTCGTTGTACGTTTTTTATTGCATTGCTGTATTGTTGGGCTTGGCCTCATGTAAGCCATCTTGAATCCTCTTGGGGAGATGGTGGGACGGGGTATAAATAAAGCTTATTATAATTATAATCATTATAAAACAGGATAGAAAAAAGAACAAGAACAAGAACAAAAACAAAAACAACAACATAATAGTAATAATAATAATAATAATAATAATAATAATAATAATAATAATAACTGTGTCTACTGAGTCTCCTTCGGGATGAGAAGGGCAGGATATAAATGTCGAAAATAAATAATTCAATATACTGCATTCATTCTACAGTTTGGATGCACTGTATTGTCTGCTTGAGCAGGGAGCTCAAGCAGGGAGCTTACTGCTCAAGCAGGGAGTTTTGAGATGGTAGAACAGAAGCTCTCCGAAGCTCTAGGTGCTCTTACTGCCTATTACAGGGAAAACCAGCTCATCCCTAATCCATCTAAAACACAGACATGTGCCTTTCACCTTAAGAACAGACAAGCATCCCGAGCTCTGAGGATTACCTGGGAAGGAATCCCACTGGAGCATTGCAGCACACCAAAATACCTGGGAGTCACTTTGGACCGTGCTCTGACCTACAAGAAGCACTGCCTGAACATCAAGCAAAAAGTGGGTGCTAGAAACAATATCATACGAAAGCTGACTGGCACAACCTGGGGATCACAACCAGATACAGTGAAAACATCTGCCCTTGCGCTGTGCTACTCTGCTGCTGAGTATGCATGCCCATCTCACCACACTAAAACAGTGGATGTGGCTCTTAATGAGACATGCCACATTATCACAGGGTGTCTGCGCCCTACACCACTGGAGAAATTACACTGCTTAGCTGGTATTGCACCACCTGACATCCGCCGGGAAGTAGCAGCCAATAGTGAAAGGACCAAGGCAGAGACATCTCCAGCTCATCCCTGTTTGGGTATCAGCCAGCACGTCAACGACTTAAATCAAGACATAGTTTTCTTAGATCTACAGAGACACTCGCTGGAACACCCCAGCAAGCGAGAGTCCAAAAGTGGCAGGCCCAAACCCAGCACCTCAATTCATGGGTGATACCAGATGAGAGACTCCCCCCTGGGCACACAGAAGATTGGGCGACTTGGAAGGCGCTGAACAGACTGCGCTCTGGCACCACGAGATGCAGAGCCAATCTTAAGAAATGGGGCTACAAAGTTGAATCCACGACATGCGAGTGCGGAGAAGAGCAAACCACTGACCACCTGCTGCAATGCAACCTGAGCCCTGCCACATGCACGATGGAAGACCTTCTTGCGGCAACACCAGAGGCACTCCAAGTGGCCAGATACTGGTCAAAGGACATTTAACCAACTACCAAATTTGCAAAATCTGTGTGTTTTTTTCTTTTCTTTTTAATCTCTGTGTTTGTTTTGCTCTGTTAGAATTGTAATACAATGGTATGGTTGCTGATGACACGATAAATAATAAATAAATAACTGCATTGTCTGCTGAGCTGATCCCATTATAGACCATAAGAATCCTCAGGTGCCAGCACCTTGAAAATATTTATATGACATTTTTCTTAATATAGTAAAAAATAAATCAGGAACCTGTTGTTATTATTATTATTATTATGTTGTTGTTTTGTTGTTGTTTCTATCCTGCTTTATAATAATAATAATAATAATAATAATAATAATAATGGGTTTCTGGGAGTTTTCCAGGCTGCATGGTCATGTTCTAGAAGCATTCTCTCCTGACGTTTTGCCTGCATCTATGGCAGGCAGCCTTAGAGGTTGTGAGATCTGTTGGAAACTAGACAAAAGAAGTTTATATCTGTGGAATAATGTCCAGGGTGGGAGAAAGAACTCTTGTCTCCTTAAGGCAAGTGTGAATGTTGCAGTTGGCCACCTTGATTAGCATTCAATAGGATTCCCCCCAGGCAGGAACCAGCCAGACTTTGAAGCTGCAAGGGCTAATCAAGGTGAGCAATTGCAACATTCACACTTGCCTCAAGCAGACAAGAGTTCTTTCTCCCACCCTGGGCAGATATATAAACCTCACTTGCCTAGTTTTCCAACAGACCTCACTACCTCTGAGGATGCCTGCCATAGATGCAGGCGAAACGTCAGGAGAGAATGCTTCTGGAACATGGCCATACAGCCCAGAAAACTCACAGCAACCCATTGATTCCGGCCATTAAAGCCTTTGACAACACATGCTTATTCTATTTGCAAAACAACAACAAACCCTTTGCATGCATGAAACTTGTTCCTAATTCACTCACCAACTAACACTCTCATGGTGGAAACAGCTTAGCCGCGCATGCGCAGGGAGGGCCCCTGAGCACAGACTTGAAGGAAAATCGAATAAAGGATACTCTGAAGTCAGTCCATTGGCGTTCATCTATTCTTCATAGATCTATGTCTCTGTTTGAGAAACTTTTGTTTTTATAAACATAAGAAATTAATTCCTCAGCCAGGTAGTTTCAGTAATTTTAAAAAGTGATTTTTTTACTCCCAGATTCCCATTAGGCGAATTTTATTGAAGTATTTACATTATTCTGGCATTTGGACTTCAATTCCCAGAATCCTTTGTCATTGGAAAAAACAGCTGAGGCTTCTGGGAGTTGAAGTCCCAAATGGATAAATAGAGAAAAACCTTGAAATTGGAGGCTCTTGCGTGACGTCAGCCGGAAGCAGGAAGCGGTGAGTGGAGCCAAACAGGAAGTGACGCAACCAGTAGGGAGAAAAAGAAGAGAGAAGGCAAGACACAACCGGTGAGTCAAAAGAGATCAATCTTCGCGGTTATTTATTGAAAGGGCCCAGTGTATGGAATATGTATTAGTATTTTTAATACTGTGAAGTGTGTCCAAATATCATTATTCCTAGAATAATGTAAAAAGAATATAGAACTGTTTAGGAACAGCATGTAGCTTTTTATGTGATTTCCTATTGTTCTAATAGGACCTTTCCACACAGCCAGATAACCCATAATATCAAGGCAGATCATCCACATGCTTTGAAATGGGTTATCTGAGGCCACACTGTTCAATATAACGCCAACACCTTAAATCAAGAAATTTCTAAGATCTGCAGAGACACTCGCTGGAACACCTCAGCAAGCAAGAGTCCAAAAGTGGCAGGCTCAAACCCAGAACTTCAAACCATGGCTGAGACCGAATGAGAGATTCCCTCCTGGCACCATGAGATGCAGAGCCTATTCCTACACAGTGGAGTCCATGTCTGGAATTATATTCCCAAAGATATAGGCAATTTTACTACAGTAGCATTAACTAGAGCACATTAATTAGACTTGCGGCATTATCACTGGGTGTCTGCACCCTACACCACTGGAGAAATTACACTGTTTAGCCCAGGGGTCTTCAAACTAAGGCCCGGGGGCCAGATGCAGCCCTCCAAGGTCATTTACCTGGCCCTTGCTCAGGGTCAACCTAAGTCTGAAAGGACTTGAAAGCACATAACAACAACAACAATCCTATCTCATCAGCCAAAAGCAGGCCCACACTTCCCATTGAAATACTAATAAGTTTATATTTGTTAACATTGTTCCTCATTTTAATTATTGTATTGTTTTTAAGTGTTTTTACACTACAAATAAGATATGTGCAGCGTGCTCAGGAATTCATTCATGTTTTTTTTTTTCAAATTATAATCCAGCCCTCCAACAGTTTGAGGGATTGTGACCTGGCCCTCTGTTTAAAAAGTTTGTGGACCCCTGGTTTAGCCGATATTGCACCACCTGACATCTGCCGGGAAGTAGCAGCCAATAGTGAAAGGACCAAGGCAGTGACATCTCCAGCTCATCCCCTGTTTGGATATCAACCAGCATGCCAATGACTTAAATCAAGGAATAGTTTTCTAAGATCTACAGAGACACTCGCTGGAATACCTCAGCAAGCGAGAGTCCAAAAGTGGCAGGATCAAATCCAGAATCTCAATCAATGGCTGATACCAAATGAGAGACTCCCCCCTGGGCACACAGAAGACTGGGCGACTTGGAAGGTGCTGAACAGATTGCGCTCTGGCACCACGAGATGCAGAGCCAACCTTAAGAAATGGGGCCACAAAGTGGAGTCCATGACATGCGAGTGCAGAGACAAGCAAACCACCGACCACCTGCTACAATGTAGCCCGAGCCCTGCCACATGCACAATGGAGGACCTCCTTATCGCACCACCAGAGGCACTCCAAATGGCCAGCTACTGGTCAAAGGACATGTAATATAATGTCAGGTTTTCAAACTTTGTGGTTTTTAAATATATTCCCACTGTTCGCTCCTGACACGATAAATAAATAAATAAATACCCAGTTCAATGTGGATTTTATACAGACGTGTGGAACGGGCCATAGTCTTATATTACAGACATTTGTTGAACATTGTGTTCTAACTTGTATTTAATGTGTTGCATTTTGGGTTGCTGATTACAATAAAAGTTTTTGGTTAAGCTGACGAACCCAGAGGGCGATTCTCCCCGATGCTTTCTTCATCCTGGAAATAAGTGATGAGTGGAGTGCCACAAACAGGCTTCCGTCCTGGGCCTGGTACTATTCAGGACCTTGAATAATGACTTAGGTGAAGGGCTAGAAGGCAGGGTAATCAAGTTTGCAGATGGGACCAAATGGGGAGGGAGAGCCAGTTCTCCAGAAGACAGAAGCAGAATTAAAAACTATCTTAACAGATTAGAGAGATGGACGAAACTAACAAAATGGAGTTCAATAGGGACAAATGCAAGATACTCCACTTAGACAGAAAAAATGAAATGCAAAGATACAGAATGGGGGACAGTACCTGGCTCGACAGCAATACGCGTGAAAAAGACCTTGGAGTCCTCGTGGACAGGAAGGTGAACATGAGCTAACAATGCCGTGCGGCAGTTACAAAAGCCAATGTCTAGTGTCTAGATCCACAAAAGTCATGCTACCCCTCTATTCTGCCTTGGTCAGACCACACCTGGAATCACACAGTGCCCAATTCTGGGCAACATAATTGAAGGGAGATGTTGACAAGCTGGAATGTCCAGGGGAGGGTGACTAAAAGGATCAAGGTTCTGGAGAACAAGCCCTACGAGGAACAACTGAAAGAGCCGGGCACGTTTAGCCTGCAGAAGAGAAGACTGAGAGGAGACATGTTGAAGGCCCCCTGAAGACGCAGGTTCGCAGCTTGGGAGTAATCCTGGACTCACCGCTGAGCCTGGATCCCCAGGTTTCAGCGGTGGCCGGGAGAGCTTTCGCACAATTAAAACTTGTGCGCCAGCTGCGCCCGTACCTTGGGAAGTCGGATCTGGCCACGGTGGTCCACGCTCTTGTCACATCCCGGCTGGATTACTGCAACGCACTCTACGTGGGGTTGCCTTTAAAGACTGCTCGGAAACTCCAACTAGTTCAGCGAGAAGCAGCCAGATTGCTCACCGGAGCGGCGTACAGGGAGCACACCACCCCCCTGTTGCGTCAGCTCCACTGGCTGCCGATCCAAGTCCGAGCACAATTTAAAGTGCTGGTTTTGACCTATAAAACCCTATACGGTTCCGGCCCAGTATCTGTCCGAACGCATCTCCCTCTACGTCCCACCTCAGAATTTAAGATCTTCTGGGGAGGCCCTGCTCTTGGCCCCACCAGTGTCACAAGTGAGGCTGGCGGGGACGAGGAGCAGGGCCTTCTCAGTGGCGGCCCCCCGCCTGTGGAACGCCCTCCCCGGGGAGATTAGATCGGCGACCTCCCTCCTAGCATTTAGGAAAAAACTAAAGACCTGGATGTGGGACCAAGCCTTTGGTCACTCTGATAATTAAATCAAGGACCGGTGACAGACAAGGACAAATGGAATAGAACGGATGTATGGACTCTGACATATGGACTCTGACATGAGATTGTTTTTAGGATTATGTTTTATTATGTATTGTTGTTTTTAACTTAACTGCTGAATTTTATATTTTTTGGATTACTTGTTGTGTGATTTGGGCATCTAATTGTGCCCTTTATGTAAGCCGCCCTGAGTCCCCCTAGGGGTGAGAAGGGCGGGGTATAAGTGAATGAAATAAATAAATAAATAAATAAATATATCAAAATGTGAGGTGAAGTCATAGGCAAGGGGGAGCAAGCTTGTTTTCTGCTTTCCTGGAGACTAGGATGCAGAATAGTGGCTTCAAGCTACAGGTAAGGAGATTCCACCTGAACATGAGGAAGAACTTTCTGTGAGAGCTGTCCAGTAGTGGAACTCTCTGCCCCGGAGTGTGGTGGAGGCTCCTTCTTTGGAGGCTTTTAAACAGAGGCTGGATGGCCATCTGCCGGGGGTGCTTTGAATGCAATTTTCTTGCTTCTTAGAAGGGAGTTGGACTGGATGGCCCACTAGGTCTCTTCCAACTCAATGACAGTATGGGGATGGAAAGGATGCTTTGGTATGTATTGTTTTCTTGATGTTGTTATTATTCAGGGTCTCTCTGCACATCTTTGGCAGGAAACGATGAGTAACCCAGGAGGGTTGGTGACCAATCGCGGGCGGCGTTTCAAATGGGCCATTGAACTCAGTGGACCTGGCAGCGGAAGCAGGTATGTCCCTTGGATGAATGTGGGTGCATCTACACTGTAAGAATGAATGCAGTTTGACACCACTTTAACTGCAGTGGCCAAACACTATGGAATCAAAAGGAGTTGCAGTTTTACAGGCGTTTTAGCTATCACAGACAAAGAGGGCTGGTGTCTCACCAAACTCCATCTACCATGATTCTGTAACATTGTGCCATGGAAGTTAAAGTAGTGTCAAACTGCTTTACTTCTGTGTGTTGCTATAGGCTTTGGTATCCAGAATCACTGGGTTTCTGTGAGTTTTTCATGCTGTATGGCCATGCACCAGTCGTATTCTATCTTGACGTTTTGCCTGCATCTGTGGCTGGCATCTTCAGAGGTTCTGTTGGCAGTGAAGCAAGTGGAGCTATTCATATCTGTGGAAGGTCCAGGGTGGGAGAAAGAACCCTTGTCTGTTGAAGCAGGTGTGAATGTTGCAATTGGTAACCATGAAGCTTCCAAGTCAATCTGCATAGCCTGGGCTTTGTTGCCTGGAGGCATCCTCTGTCTGGGAAGTGTTAACTGGCACTTGATTTTTTTGCTGTTCTGTTTCTGAGGGCCCTTGGACAAAGCCATATAACCCAGAATATCAAGGCAGATAATCTACAATACCTGCTTTGAACTGGGTTATCTGAGTCCACACTGCCGTAGAACCTAGTTCAAAGCAGATAATGTGGGATTTTCTACAGCTGTTTGGAAGAGGCCTGCGTGGTGCCTCTGCACCACGCAGCAAGGTAGATTGTGGCCTGTCTATGTAAGCCAGGCATGGGCAAACTTCGACCCTTGGATGTTTTGGACTCCAACTCCCACAATTCCTAACAGCGGGTAGGTTATTAGGAATTGTGGGAGTTGAAGTCCAAAACACATGGAGGGAGGGCCAAAGTTTGCCCATGCCTGATGTAAGCAGATGGCTGGATCGCTGGTGGATATGCAGGCAGTTCCCAAGTTACAAACAAGATAGGTTCTGTAGGTTTGTTCTTATGTTGAATTTGTTTGTAAGTTGGAACAGGTACGTTTTTGAAAATGTAACTCCTTTGAATTGCATACAGAAGGGTTAACATCCCTGTGGTGCTTGTTTTGCTGTCTGCACCCCTGTTTAGAAAATTTCACCTCATTTTCTATACTTGTGATCATTGGATTTTGAAAAATATGTCTTGTTGTGGAAACAAGAACTGGTGATCAGTCTTCAGTGGGGACGCCTTTTCCCCATGATAATAACTCTTCCAGGATTGAATTTCCCTTTCATAGTGGGAGATTTCTCTCACTTCCTGGTGTTTATTATTTATTTCCTACTAGTTGTCCCCTGCCACGTGTTGCTGTGGCCCACATGGCTGTTCTGTGTGGGAGTTTTGGCCTAATTCTATCGTTGGTGGAGTTCAGAATGCTCTTCGATTGTTTGTGAACTACAAATCCCAGGAACTACAACTCCCAAATGTCAAGATTCTATTTTCCACAAACTTCACCAGTGTTCACATTTGGGCATATTGAGTATTTGAGTAGAGTTTGGTCCAGATCCATCATTGTTTGAGTCCACAGTGCTCTCTGGATGTAGATGAACTAAAACTCCTGAACTCAAGGTCAATGCCCACCAAACCCTTCCAATATTTTCTGTTGGTCATTGGAGTTCTGTGTGCCAAGTTTGGTTCAATTCCATCGTTGGTGGGGTTCAGAATGCTCTTTGATTGTAGGTTAACTATAAATCCCAGCAACTACAACTCCCAAATGACAAAATCAAATTTTTGAAGTGAAGAACATACATTGGGTTGTTAGGTGTATTGTGTCCAAATTTGCTGTCAATTCTCCGAGTGGTTTTTTAGTTCTGTGAATACCACAAACGAACAATACATTTTTATTTATATAGATATTTATACCCCACCTTTCTCCCCACGAAAGGGGACTCACCCCGCTCCTGACTATGAATGGGATTTTGTAACCTGGGACTGCTTGTACTCTTTGTTTTCATTCAAATTGTCACTTTCTCATGTCTCTGCAGGAGCCGGAGTGACCGGAGCAGTGGTCAGGGGGACACTCTCTATCCCATAGGCTACTCAGACAAACAGGTGCCAGATACAAGCGTCCAAGAGACAGATCGCATCCTCGTGGAAAAGGTAGCATATGGCTAGGATTGGAGAACTGTTGGATTCCATCATGGAGTCAGGAGCCCATATATGACCTCGAATATCAGTATTTCCATGAGCATAGAGCAGGCATGGGCAAACTTCGGCCCTCCATGTGTTTTGGACTTCAACTCCCACCATTCCTAACAGCCTCAGGCCCCTTCTTTTCCCCCCTCAGCCGCTTAAGTGGCTGAGGGGGAAAAGGAAAGGGCCTGAGGCTGTTAGGAATGGTATGAGTTGAAGTCCAAAACATATGGAGGGCTGAAGTTTGCCTATGCCTGCCTTTTGACTTCTACCTTATTCTTTTCTATCCTTTTTCTAGCGCTGCTGGGATATCGCCCTGGGTCCCATGAAGCAAATCCCCATGAACTTGTTCATCATGTACATGGCAGGCAACACCATCTCCATTTTCCCCACCATGATGGTTTGTATGATGGCCTGGAGGCCCATCCAAGCCCTCATGTCCATCTCTGCTAGTAAGTGCATTTGTATCTCTGCCCTGTTGTCTTGTTCTTATGCTCTTCTGTCATACTCCAGCCATATTCTAGTTGTGCAAGTAATCAAAGAGGCAGCGGAGTAGATGTTAAAACTTAAGCTGATTAGTCCAAGGACGGAGTGGCAGTAACTGTGAAATCCATATCTGTGGTTTCACTTACCTAGAAAAAATAATCTCTGGGAATTTGCTTGATACTAGAAGCAATCCTATGATAGGCAATCTTATGTTAGGCTTCCCCTTGTAGTTAAAATAGAATTACGTTGGAGCAGCTGGCAAATTCCTTGAAAGGACAACTCTTAAGACTCTAGATTAGTGGTTCCCAACCTTTGGTCCTCCAGGTGTCTTGGACCAAACTTGGGCCCTCCAGGTGTTTTGGACTTCAACTCCCACAATTCCTAACAGCCTACCGGCTATTAGGAATTGTGGGACCTGAAGTCCAAAACACCCAGAGGACCAGAGGTTGGGAACCACTGCTCTAGATCCTCCAATGCAACCCTGTGGTATGCTGGGGCCAGAAGTAAGCTAATTTAATGGTGATCAGTGGTGTGCCTGGTTTCAGGTAATTGCAGTTTGACTGGGAATCTGGGTTTTTGTGGTATATGGATTGTGTACTTGGGCTGGGTTTTGTGTATATGTTGGACAAACTGGGGAAAACAGTTTGTATTCTGTGCTGGCCTGCAACTCTGCTGATGGCGACGTCCAGGTGATGCTCCTGTCTTACTGACAATGTGATCAACTCAAAGTAATGAACTGGGAAGGTGAAACTTAGTCATGTATCCTGTTCTTCTTGACTTTTTGTGCTATTTCCTCTGCAGCCTTCAAATTACTGGAGAGCTCAAGCCAAAAGTTTCTGCAGGGTCTGGTGTACTTAATTGGAAACCTCATAGGGCTGGCCTTGGCGGTTTACAAATGCCAGTCGATGGGCCTGTTGCCAACTCATGCTTCTGACTGGCTTGCTTTTATTGAGCCACCGGAGGTGAGTATAAGTTGGGGCTTCCAAGAGGCTCAAGGGTAAATTAGCACAGGGAGGGATTCATCTTCCTTTTCACTTATGGACAAATCCTAAATGCTCTGGATATTTTTCGAAAGAGTGGGAAAATGGCATCAGATTTGTTTCTCTCAGTGAGTGTTGAGTTCTTGACTCCATGAAAATGAAAATAATTTAACAGATGCACAGAAATGGTGGTGTGTGTGTCTATATTTGTGTGTGTGGGTGTGTCTGTGTATATATATATATATATATATATATATATAGTGCTCAGGAGCCACTGATGGCACAGTGGGTTAAATCGCTGAGCTGCTAAACTTGTTGACTGAAAAGTCACAGGTTCAAATCTGGGTAGCGGCATGAGCTTCTGCTGTCAGCCCCAGCCAACCTAGCAGTTTGAAAACATGAAAAAAAAAATGGTCGTGTCAGGAGCGACCTGAGAAACTGCAAGTCGCTTCTGGTGTGAGAGAATTGGCCATCTGCAAGGACGTTGCCTAGGGGACGCCCAGATGATTTGATGTTTTATCATCCTTGTGGGAGGCTTCTCTCATGTCCCCGCATGAGGAGCTTGAGCTGATAGAGGGAACTCATCCGCCTCTCCCCAGATTCGAACCTGCGACCTGTTGGTCTTCAGTCCTGCCGGCACAGGGCTTTAACCCACTGCGCCACTGCAAATGTGAATAGATAAATAGGTACTGCTCCAGCAGAAAGGTAACAGCGCTCCATGCAGTCATGCTGGCCACTTGACCTTGGAGGTGTCTACGGACAACGCTGGCTCGTCAGCTTAGAAATGGAGATGAGCACCAATCCCCAGAGTCGGACCCAACTGGACTTAATGTCAAAGGAAACCTTTCCCTTTACCTATAGTGCTCATTTTCTATTTGGGATCCTAGCTTTAAAAATAGCTTAGAAATTAGTGGTTTTTTTTAAGTTTATGGCTCACATTATGGGGCCGCAGTGGGGCAGCGGGTTAAACCGCTAAACTGCAGAACTTACTGACCAGAAGGTTGGCAGTTTGAATCTGGGGAGCAGGGAGAGCTCCCATTGTTAGCCTCAGCTTCTGCCAAACTAGCAGTTCGGAAACATGCAAATGTGAGTAGATCAATAGGTACTGCTTCTGCAGGAAGATAATGGTGCGCCGTGCAGTCATGCTGGCCAAATGACCTTGGAGGTGTCTACAGAGAATGCCAGCGCTTTGGCTTAGGAATAGAGATGAGCATCACCCCCCAAAGTCAGACATGAGTAGACTTAATGTCAGGGGAAATCTTTATATGTACTTATGGCTCACATTTCCTTTCTTTCTCCTTATGCCCAGCGCATGGAGTTCACAGGTGGGGGTCTTATTCTATGACCCTACTCAGAAACCAGTGACTGCATTAAATGTCTGGATCACAGGATGTCCTTTTCTCATTCATCCCGATTCCTTCATAAAGCTGCCGATTAAGTGAACTTCTGTGCTAAGGAAGATGAGATGACAAAGGCGGAGACTGAAGGAACAGGCTGCAAAGGACTGATACGTTCTGCCTGGGGAGAAGCAGGAGGCTCTTCCCGACAGGATCTTTTCACCGTTCCCCTCTGTTGAAAGCGGAATAAAAGTTGCTAACACACCCCTGTTTTCAGAGCTTTTCTGGAATAGTGTACTAGCTAAGAACTAGCTTTTGTAGAGTAGAGCAGAGCTACTTAAATTGTGTATCCCTACCGTAGATAGGATCCCGAGTTCAATGTTGGAATCCCGAAAAATTTGACAATAGTAAGTTTTCCGAATGCCACTCTGCTGTTTTAGACATTTACACAAATCTATTGTGCAGTGTTTACAATGAGCTCTGCAGAAGATACTTCAGCTGGGTTGCTGTGAGTTTTTTGGGCTCTGTGGCCATGTTCCAGAAGCATTCTCTCCTGACATTTCGCCCACATCTATGGCAGGCATCCTCAAAGGATGTGAGGTATATTGAAAACTAAGCAAGGGAAGTTTATATATCTGTGGAAGGTCCAGGGTGGGAGAAAGAACTCAGGGCCAGCTAACACCTTCCAACAAAGAATTCCCCCAGGCAGGAATCAGCCAGACCTTGAAGCTGCAAGGTTTTGTGATGCTAATATATTTGTGGTACAATATAACGGTATAGTACAACATATATAATACTGATGTTGTACCATGCTAATAACATAATCTATTGTATATACATATAATATTTATAATATTATAATGTAATACAATATAATAATACAATATTATATTTTATATTACATGTAATATTACTAATAATATTACAATATAATGGTATAGTACAACATAGTAATATATAATACTGATATTGTACTATGCTAATATATAATATATTGTATGTACTTATAATATTTATAACATTATAATGTAATACAATATAATAATAATAATAACATATATTTTATATTACATGTAATATTACTAATAGTATTACAATATAATGGTATAGTACAACATAGTAATATATAATACTGATATTGTACTTTGCTAATAATATAATCTATTGTATATACATATAATATTTATAATATAATGTAATGCAATATAATACTAATAATAATAATGCAATATTATATTTTATATTACATGTAATATTACTAATAATATTACAATATAATGGTATAGTACAACAGTAATATATACTGATATTGTACTATGCTAATAATATAATATTCTGTATATACATATAATATTTATATTATAATGTAATACAATATAATACAATATATTATACTAATAATACAATATATTACATGTAATATTACTAATAATATTACAATATAATGGTATAGTACAACATAGTAATATATAATACTGATATTTTACAATGCTAATAATATAATCTATTGTATATACATATAATATTTATAATATAATTACAATACTAATAATAATACAACATTATATTTTATATTACATGTATTTCTAATAATATTGCAACATAATGGTATAGTACAATATAGTAACATATAATACTGATATTGTACTATGCTAATAATATAATCTATTGTATGTACATATACCTCGTAAGCCGCTCTGTGTCCCCTTCGAGGTGAGAAGGGCAGCATATAAATGTAAATAAATAAATAATCAAGGTGATTAATTGCAACATTCACATTTGCCTCCAACAGACATTCCACAGATATATAGACCTCGCTTGTTTAGCTTCCAATATACCTCACAACCTCTGAGGATGCCTGCCAGAGATGTGGGTGAAACATCAGGAGAGAATGCTTCTGGAACATGGCCATACAGCCCGGAATACTCAAAGCAACCCAGTGATTCCGGCTATGAAAGCCTTCGACAACATTCTTCAGCTGTTTAGCAAGCTGTTTGTTATCAGTAAATCTTTGATTTCTATACCTATTTTTTATTACCTGGGTCACATAAACAATTTTGAAGCAAAAAGGAGTCCAAAGTGGAAAAGATTAAGAAACCCTGGGCTAGAACACACTGATCTCTGATGGCATAAGCATTTTAAAGAATTGTCTTTTGCCTTCTGCAAAAAGTAGGAATGAACTCAAACCAGCATGGTCATGGAGCAAGGACTATTTAATCCATTCATGTTCTTGGCTCCATTTCTTGAAACCGGTGATCTGAACAAACACTCCAGGATCAAATCTTCGTTTGCAGTGGCTTACCGACACTCATCCAACACACCCTTCCACGTAGGACTCATTTAGCTTCCGGCAATTTTCTTCATACTCTAAAGCAGGGGATTGGCACTCTTCTGGAGAGTCCAGGAATTTACATACTTAAACAATCATTCGTAGTCTGAGGATGATGCCCCTCCAAGTGTAGTGTCTTAGCAGAGGATACGTATGTGGCTGTGGAGCCCTATTCTTGGCCCACATGTTCTTCCACAGTGAGGACATCGGCTTCCATGTGGAAGGTGGCCCCAGTCAGGGTTGGTTTGACACACCTTCCTCTTGGCACATTTCTCCCTTTCGCCCTCCATTCGTGCCTCTTCAAATTCTGCAGCACTGCTGGTCACAGCTGATCTCCAGCTGCAGCGCTCAAGGGCCAGGGCTTCCCAGTTCTCAGTGTCTATGCCAGAGATTTTAAGGTTGGCTTTGAGGCCATCTTTAAATCTCTTCCTGTCCTTCAACATTCCGTTTTCCATTCTTGAGTTCGGAGTAGAGCAACTGCTTTGGGAGAATGTGGTCGGGCATCCGGACAATGTGGCCGGTCCAGCGGAGTTGATGGCGGAGGACCATCGCTTCAATGCTGGTGGTAATTGCTTCTTCCAGCATGCTGACATTTGTTCGCTTGTCTGACCAAGAGATTTGCAGGATTTTCCGGAGGCAGCACTGATGGAATCGTTCCAGGAGTTGCATGTGATGTCTGTAGACAGTCCACGTCTCGCAGGTGTATAGCAGGGTCGGGAGGACAATAGCTTTATAGACAAGCACCCTGGTTTCCTTACGGATGTCCCTGTCCTCAAACACTCTGCTTCATTCAGAAAAATGCTGCACTCGCAGAGCTTGGGCGGTGTTGTATTTCAGTGTCGATGTTGACTTTGGTGGAGAGGTGGTTGCCAAGGTAGTGGAAATGTTCGACATTTTCTAATGTTACACCATTAAGCTGTGATCGAGCATTCGGACATGGCCAGCGGAGTTGATGGCGTAGGAGCATCGCTTCAGTGCTGGTCTTTGCTTCTTCCAGCACACTGACATTTGTCTGCCTGTCTTCCCAAGAGATTTGCAAGATTTTCTAGAGGCATCACTGAGGGAATTGTTCCAGGAGTTGAGTGACTGTAGACAGTCCACATTTCGTAGGCATATAGCAGGGTTAGGAGGACAATAGCTTTATGAACAAGCACCTTGGTCTCCCCATGGATGTCTTGATCCTCAAACACTCTCCGCTTCATTTTGAAGAATGCTGCACTTGCAGAGCTCAGGCAGTGTTGGATTTCAGTGTCAATGTTGACTTTTGTGCAGAGGTGGCTGCATGAGAATTTGCTATTTAGCTCTCTCTTTTGTGTCCTATATGGCTATTGAGATCTGGGCTAAAGTGGCTACTAATATTGAAAGGGTTTAGGGAACTGGAGATGCTGGTGAAGCTCAAAAAGGCTGCAAGATTCCAGCTCCTGCTATAAAGTTACTGAGGCAATTTGAAGATTTCCCAAAAATGTATAGCCTCTCACCAACAACGGAGTGTCAAGCTACCCCCCTTCAGTGCTGTAAAATATGGCGATGTACCAGGACTTTTTCAACTAATAGTCATGAAAATCATTAGAATAGTTAACTTGTATGGCTACCCAGAGCTCCCAGTGGCGCAGTGGGTTAAACCACTGAGCTGCTGAACTTGCTGACCGAAAGGTCGGCAACTCAAATCTGGGCAGCGGGATGAGCTCCCACTGTTAGCCCCAGCTTCTGCCAACCTAGATGTTTAAAAACATGCAAATGTGATTAGATCAATAGATACCGCTTCTGCGGGAAGGTAACAATTCTGGCCACATGACCATGGAGGTGTCTATGGACAACTCCGGCTCTTCGGCTTAGAAATGGAGATGAGCACCACCCCTTAATGTCAGAGGGAAACCTTTATCTTAAATGTACCAGAATCCTCCTCCAGCCAACCAAACAAGGCTGCAATGTTTGGGGAATTCTGAGAAATATAATCTCCAAAATAACTATTTTGCAGAGACAATTCTCATTACAATGGAGACATTGGGGGATTCTGGGGAATGCAGTCTCCAAAATAATTTGACTGCAGAGCCGTATGTTATTGAATCTTCTGGGAATTGTAGTTTTCCAAGGTCTTGACACACCTGGACTTAATGTCGAGGGGAAACTTTTACCTTTTCCTATGGGAACCAAACGCCTTGTGGTCATTCATAACGACAAAGAAACCAGAAACTATATATAAAATGTTTATTCTTTACATAATTCAGGAAGCCAAAAATAATAATAATCACACCCCTCAAAACCTGATGCTATGTAAACAAGGTCACACCCCCAATAAATTAAAAGTCTCCCCCAAAGTAAAAGAGGTGAGGAAAAGTATGTGAAATTCCCTTTAAAAATAAAAACAACGAGGAGAGGCTAGAGATCCGTCTGCTTTAAGGCTATCTCAAAGGAGTGGTCCCTGTACGCGATTCTTGAGCAAGGGATTGAGAAAATTTAGACATCCATCATTGAAACCGAAGGGGACAACACAGACAAGGCCATTTGCCCATGTCGGGATAGGAAGGACTCACTCTCAGCACTCACAAAATACAAGTTGTAGGGCTTCGCTATTGAGACACTTGTTCTAAAAAGAGGCAAGCATAATAGTTTGGTATAGAAAGAGCTGTGTCCCGCTTTCCCAACTTTGGGGGTAGAAGGGAAGAGGGGGTCGCTGTTGACAGTTATGCAAGTCAGAAGATATTGCTGTTTTGCCTCCTGTTTGAATTTAGGAAAGATACTTTCCTCTGCATGATAACTATGAGTGCAGTTTCTTCTGCTTTTCAGTCATTCTGCAAAACGTCTGCAAACACCGAGACTCTGAGCTTCCTTGCCCAGAGAGGAGAATGGGAGCCACAGAGGAGAAGAACTGGCAGGACAGGTGCCATCACCAGTATGCCACTTCTACCCTGGCTTCAGGAATCTATCATTCTTCACCATGCCTTGACAAAGAGTGCAATGGGATTTCAGCATCCCATAAGGGTCGAGGGTGGAGGATAAGTACAAGAAGTCAGCTCCATCTTTCTAAACACCCCTCCCTTTGCTTTCAGAGGGAAAGAAAGCAGAAAGATTTTGGCACTGACCACAAGAGAATGGCACAATGCAGGCGGCATCTCGTTGCTGCCAGCTCTACAAACAGCATCTCCCATCTCCTACTTTTTTAAATAGACAGTGTCCGTTCTGTTGAAATACTCTTGTAAAGGTTAGCAGAGGGTTCCAGCAACAAGTAGGAGACCAAAGCATGAGTTTCTCCCTCCTTCTTTGGCTCCTTTCGCACCCCGAGCAACATTAGGACCCGACTGACTAGCTCCTCTACATCTTGGCAAGAGGCTGAGCCATGTTCCGCTCGAGTCTAAAAGCTTAAGTAGTTCCTAATGTGTATCTTTGTAACCTCATGGAAGGATAGGGGGGAATGTCAACACTCCCTCCTCCAAAAGGAGAAAAACCACCCTATCTTAAGACCCCCCCAACTGCAACTGGAAAAAGAAAGCAAAGGAGGCGTGACGCTGCTAGCTGCTCTGCTGGAGAGATCAAGTAGCAGGTGGTAACAGGCAGGAAGCAGGTGTCAATCTGACAGAACCGAGTCCGTTGGGAGGAAAGCCTCCCGTGCATCTAGGAGTAGATGGTGATCACTTCGCTGCCACCACCCCGCACAAGCAGCACGCGCTCCAGCCCTTCTGTGAGGACCTCCAGGAATTCCATATCTGTGGATAGAGGAGAGTCAAGGAAGGAAAACTGCAGCTGTTTGTTGCCCAACAAGCTTCAGTCTAAGAGAGGCCTCAGTCTAAGTAAACATCTGTGTTAGTAAGCCTCAGTGTGAGGTAGGCCTCAGAGTCAGTATGCCTCAGTGTTAGAGGCCTCAGAGCACATCCCATCTCTCCTGCACCCCAGATGAGAGCATGAAAAAGTGGCTTTTAAAAAGTCTTTAAAAAGCTCAGCTTTAGAACAGCTGGGGGCCGGGCTTTAGCACAACTGGTTAATCGGCAGCAGCAATAGATCTTACCAATTGAAAGGTTGGCAGTTCGAAGCCTGGGTCGGAGTGAGCACCTGACTCCGACCCAGGCTTTGAACTATTTATTTATCGTGTCAGTATCAACCAGAAAATCGTATTACATTTTTAACATTTTTTTTACAAACAGACAAAACAGAGTTTGCAAGCTTGGTAGTTGATTAAATGTCCTTTGACCAGTATCTGGCCACTTGGAGTGCTTCTGGTGTTGCTGCAAGGAGGTCCTCCATTGTGCATATGGCGGGGCTTAGGTTGCATTGCAGCAGGTGGTCAGTGGTTTGCTCTTCTCCACACTTCAGCCCTTTAGGTGTTTTGGACTTCAACTCCCATATTTCCTAACAGCCAGTAGAGTTGAAGTCCAAAACACCTGGAGGGCCAAAGTTTGCCCATGCCTGACCTAAGCAATTCAAAAACAGCTGTGAGTAGAGAAATTAGGCACCACTTAAGTGGGGAGGTATTTTATGGCACCATAAAGGAAATACCAAAAAATAAATGCCAGCGATCGGAGGAAGTTTGTGAACAAGGTTCTTCATCATAGAGGATGGAGCGACAGCACCCCCCGTGGCCAGAATCAAGCACAACCTCCCAGACACCGAAGCTGGGGGGAAAAACACCTCTATCTGTTGTCTGTCCTCTGTTTAACAGCATTGAATATTTGTTGTGTTTGTGTTCTGTGATCTGAGTCCCCTTTGGGGTGAGAAGGGTGGAATATAAATGCTCTAAATAAATAAAATAAAAATTCCTAAAATCTAGAAGACAGGAAGCCAAATCCCCCGTTTTTCCTACCACCTTCCCTCTCCCACCCCTCTTATACCAGCCCATCTTCTCACTCCCCCGACCCTTCCCTGACAATCCCCCTACCACCCCTCTACTCCCTCACTATTCCCTTATTATCCTTACCCTTCTTTTATCCCTATGTTTTTCTTTTATGTAATCGTAAATCTTTTCAATCAAAATTATTATTTTTTAAATCTTAAAACATGACAGGCTGCATAGCCATAGACCCCAAGGTCTGCGTAAGTCAAAGAAGGATACAGTTCTCATCGCCGTCAGGATTGCGTGGTGGACCGGGCATGTTGAGCAGCACTAGTTTAGCCTCATGGGACTTGTTCACAATGACCTCGTTGAGCTTCACAGCCGTGTGCATGCGTCGCACATTGGATTGATCCCTGGAATGGGGATAGGAAGAGACGATTCAGTACCAACATTGAATACATATGTATGGATACACCTTTGCAGGAGGTTTGACAACAGGGATGGGAACTGCACATCTCCGTTATCTGCCAAAAGGCAGAGGGCACTGGATTTGATCTTCACAGAACATGGAGGATACATAAGGTGCCAACTTGCAAAGACTATGCTGGCAGACAGTGGGACTCGGAGTAAAAAGAATAAAACAAACTTCTGAAGATATGAACCAAAAACCAATAATAGTTATGATGAAGTAATAAAGAAGCATCCCTGCTGGTGCAGTGGGTTAAACCTTTGTGCCGGCAGGACTGAAGACTGACAGGCTGGAGGTTCAAATTTGGGGAGAGCGTGGATGAGCTCCCTCTCTCAGCTCCAGCTCCCCTTGTGGGGACATGAGAGAAGCCCCCCACAAGGATGGTGAAACATCAAAACATCTGAGCCTCCCATGGGCAACGTCCTTGCAGACAGCCAATTCTCTCACACCAGAAGCTACTTGCAGTTTCTCAAGTTGCTCCAGACACAAAAAATAAAATCTTTCTTGCAGTTCCCACCATGGTTGCCGGACAAGAAACAAGATGTCATATGTGGTCTTTATTAGAAATATTAAAAAATATTTGTGTAGCTTGCTGTCGACCTTTGCAGCCCGAAAGACAGTTGCATCTCTCAAGTAGGAAATTTAGGTACCGCTTATGCAGGTAGGCTAATTTACGACGCCATAAAAATCTCCAGCAAGCATGCAAAGAATGAGGAAGTACTTCATCAGTGTCACAAATGGTTGGTGAAGCGACAGCTCCCCTGGTGGCCAGGATACTCTCATGAAAAAGCTGGAGTGTTAAACAGCCTCTGTGTGTCTGACTATATAGGTTGTGTGTCTATGTCATTGAATGTCTGCCATGTATACATACATTGTAATCTGCCCTGAGTCTTCTGCGGGGTGAGAAGGGTGGAATATAAATACTGTAAATAGATAAAATATAACATAACTTTGCCAGGGGACACAGGCTATTTTCGGCATCACTACCAAAGAGGAGCCCATAGAAAGCAAGAGATCTTGGGAAGGAGTCAAGCAAAGAGGACTAAGATATCAAGTGTCTCTTACGGCCGCATGTTTAAGAGATCTTGGAAACCCTCCAGCGTCTTCTGCTTTTGCCCACGGGATGCCATGTACTTGTCCTTGGTCCATGTCATGTGCACCTTTTCCTGGTATGTCTCCGTCTCTTCGTCGTCATCTGAGCCAATACTGGTCAGCCGCAACATAGAATTCCTGTCCTTCACAAGCTGAGCCTAGGAAAATATTATTGCAGGTAAAGCAGTAAAGGAACAAACAGAAACTGCTGGGTGTTTTTTTCCTGCAACCTGTTCCCTCCCATCATGTGTCTCAGGAATAACTCACCTCTCGGTCTCGCTCGGTCTTAGACAGGCGCATTTGTCGCAACATCTGACAGCGCTGCTCCATCATCAGCGTGCGCTCGTATGTATAGGCAGAGATGTCGCTGTCATGCTGCCAAGGGGGAAGAAAAATTAGGACAGAGAGCCAGGCTATACTCATTTTACTTCTAGCTAGACCTATCAGACTTCCCCTAACCTTAACCATTCCCACATTTCTCTCTAGTTTAACATTTGGCAGCTCTGCAGGTATGTGGAATTTCCAACATCCCTAAGAATGCAGAGTACCGGGGCTTATAAAGCAGAATTAGATGAAGTGTTAGAAGGCATGATCATCAGGTTTGCAGACAACACCAAATTGGGAGGGATAGCCAATACTCCAGAGGACAGGAGCAGGATTCAAAACGATTTTGACAGATTAGAGAGATGGGCCAAAACTAACAAAATGAAGTTCAACAGTGACAAATGCAAGATACTCCACTTTGGCAGGAAAAATGAAATGCAAAGATACAGAATGGGGGACAATGCCTGGCTCGAGAGCAGTACGTGTGAAAAAGATCTTGGGGTCCTCGTGGACAACAAGTTAAACATGAGCCAACAATGTGATGTGGCGGCAAAAAAAGCCAATGGGATTTTGGCCTGCATCAATAGGAGCATAGTGTCTAGATCTAGGGAAGTAATGCTACCCCTCTATTCTGCTTGGTGACCAATTCTGGGCACCACAATTGAAGAGATATTGACAAACTGGAATATGTCCAGAGGAGGGTGACTAAAATGATCAAGGGTCTGGAGAACAAGCCCTATGAAGAGCGGCTTAAAGAGCTGGGCATGTTTAGCCTGAAGAAGAGAAGGCTGAGAGGAGAAATGATAGCCATGTATAAATATGTGAGAGGAAATCATAGGGAGAAGGGAGCAAGCTTGTTTTCTGCTTCCCTGGAGACTAGGACACGGAGCAATGGCTTCAAACTACAAGAAAGGAGATTCCATCTGAACATTAGAAAGAACTTCCTGACTGTGAGAGATGTTCAGCAGTGGAACTCTCTGTCCCAGAGTGTGTTGGAGGTTCCTTCCCGGAGTGTGTTGGCCATCTGTCAGGGGTGCTTTGAATGCAATATTCCTGCTTCTTGGCAGGGGGTTGGACTGGATGGCCCATGAGGTCTCTTCCAACTCTAGGATTCTATAATTCTATGAACAGCTCCTTAAAATGGTAGGAAATGTGAAACTGTGTAATCCTTCTGTCTACAAAAGGAGAAAAATCACCTTAGAACTCGTGGGAATGCTAACAAAAGACATTTCTTTATTATCTTTGGAGAACATCAATGAAATTGTGGGGTTCAATATATTTTAGACTCTATTGTTCTCTATCCATCAACTGGTCTCACAATCCTTGCCCTCTATTGTCTAGCACCAAATTAAGTTGTTGACCCAAGGAGGAGAAAAGGACTCTTGTGACTCTCAACTTATCCTTGTTTCCTCATTCCTTACGTCGATTTTCAGTGTCTCACCATTTCTACCACTTCCACCTCTGCTTCAATGCGGAGGTGATACAGAAAGGTTGCCAAATCCTTCTTCATCTGGATGCTGTTGTCCTCCAGCTGAGCCACGGTAAAGATGCGGATTTTGCATTTACGCCACACCTTGGAATGGAAGAAACAGAATCAGTCAGCTTGATTTCCCCCCCTTATTGTTGGAAGTGGTAACCTTCCAAGTCTTGGGTTGTTGTAGGTTTTGTTTCGGGCTGTATGGCCATGTTCTAGAGGCATTCTCTCCTGACGTTTCACCTGCATCTATGGCAAGCATCCTCAGGAGTTGTGAGGACCTCACAACCTCTGAGGATGCTTGCCATAGATGCAGGCATAGATACATCTAGTCCTCTTAAAATGAAATACAAATATACAAGTAGCCATAGATATATGCACCAACTATCCTCGTCTCCCCTACACTGCACCCCAATCTGATCAATGTAATCTTATATTAATTCAGTATACAGGCACATTTTTTATTGAGATAGTGCAGTGTCTGCACTGTCTGTTTTTGATAAGGCCAACTGGCTAATCCAGGGGTCCTCAAACTTTTTAAACAGAGGGCCAGGTCACAGTTCCTCAAACTGTTGGAGGGCCAGATTATAATTTGAAAAAAAACAAAACATGAATGAATTCCTATGCACCCTGAACATATCTTATTTGTAGTGCAAAAAACACTTAAAAACAATAAAATAATTAAAATGAAAATAATTTTAACAAATCTATATTTATTAGTATTTCAATGGGAAGTGTTGGCCTGTGTTTGGCTGATGAGATAGGATTGTTGTTGTTGTTGTTGTGTGCTTTCAAGTCGTTACAGACTTAGGTTGATGACCTTGGAGGGCCGCATTCGGCCCCGGGGCCTTAGTTTGAGGACTCCTGGGCTAATCAATAAAATTGTTGAATTAATACAAGATGTTTGTGAGTAAACAAGATACGAGGATTATCCGGAAAGTAAGGTTACAAGGCACGTAGCTCTCACTAGGAATTTTCACGAGGGAAGTTGGTATCACTTCCGTGTAGCAGGAAGCCAGCGGAAGCAAAGGAGCAGTGCCAGTTGTCAGTAGCTCATTGACTGGTGTTGTGAAGGTTAGAGATGAGCATCCTCATTCCGTTTCCCTTTTGTCTGTCTCCTTAATGACATTGCTCATCTGCACACCACTCATGCAACACAAGAGTTGCTGACTTCATTTGGTTAGGATGTTTAAAGTCACCACCTCCCACAGCCCGGATCTCACACCCAGTGACTACCATCTGTTCACTAAATTGAAGGAACATCTGGTTGGAAAACACTTTTCCGGCAATGACGAAGTGAAAATTGAAATGACGAACTGGCTGAAAAAAGGTGATGGGAGACTTCTATGACACAGGCAACAAAAAACCTGTTGCACAGATGACAAAATGTATTGAACTAAATGGTCATTGTATTGTCGAAGGCTTTCATGGCCGGAATCACTGGGTTGTTGTAGGTTTTTTTGGGCTATATGGCCATGTTCTAGAGGCATTCTTTCCTGACGTTTCGCCTGCATCTATGGCAAGCATCCTCAGAGGTAGTGAGGTCTATTGGAACTAGGAAAAGGGGGTTTATATAAATATAAGCATTTGGACAATTTCAACAGAAAGGAGGAAACCATTGAAATGAACAAAATCTGGCTACCAGTATTAAAAAAAATCCTTTAAAATTGCAACAGCACAACAACAGAGAGGAAACAATCTGGGACATCTAATCACCTCTCAACAAAAGATTGCCCCAGGCACTGCCAGGCCATCAAATGCTAATCAAGGTGGTCAGTTGAAACATTCACACCTAGCTCCAGCAGACAAGAGTCCTTTGTCCCACCCTAGTCATTCCACAGATATATAAACCCTTTTTCCTAGTTCCAACAGGCCTCACTACCTCTGATGATGCTTGCCATAGATGCAGGCAAAACGTCAGGAAAGAATGCCTCTAGAACATGGCTATATAGCCTGAAAAAACCTATAACAACCCTAAATGGTCATTATGTGGAAAAATAATGTAATACCTATGCTATAGTCCATGTTTTATTAAAATATATTCATTCTTTGTGTTTTAAAAAAATCTTGTAACCTTATGTTCTTTACTTTTTAAAGAAGACTTTGTTTTTCTTTCTTTCCTTCTCTGCATATTTTTAAACTAAGAGGTTTCAAGGGAGAATATATGTTTTGGGCAATTGCAATTTCAACTTCAACTTCAAAGAAACATTTCAAAATCTGCTAGCTAAGTATATGTTTTTTGTGTAGTGGCATGTCTTTGTCCCTGATAGTTCAAAGACATGGTGTATCAGTTTAGCAGCTGAGTTACCTGTGTGCCATTACATGAATGCTTGTGAACATCACTTTTTCAAAGGGCTGACTTCTAATAAGGTCATGCCTTTCCTTGACTAATGGTTTTCGAAATGTGGTCTCCAGATGTTCATGGAGATTCACATTTGCCAAAAGGATATGACATCATTCATTTTTTCAAAAAGATAATGAATGAGATTTTTCCAAAAACCAATTCCCTTCCACAATAATGCCTCCCAAAAACACCTTGTGTTGCTTAAGAAGAAAGGGGAGCAGCATCAGCATCCCGCCATCGTGCACGATCCACCAGACGTCAATGTTCCCCTCCAAAAAGGGCTCTACATTGCTGGGGAAGAAGGACACATTCTTTGCCACAAGCAAGGCCAGATGGGCAGCTGTAGTCACCCGGACAGTGCCTGCAAAGTAGAAATGTAAAGTCAGGAAGAATGGGTCAACAGGCTGTGATCCACCACCCTTCCCACATTTAACCCTCCACCGCCATACCAATGAAGTTCTTCCAAGACCGGGCATCCTCGCTCTGGCGCCAAGCATTGGGCCAGCCCATCACCACAGTGTTGTGCTTCATACCACCCAGCCCACAGGACTGAATGAGGTGGGAGGTGCCCTCGCGCACCTTGCCAGCCACCACAATCTGGCAGAAGCCTTTCACCCGTTCCGTCTCCATCAGGTGTTTGATGGTCTGAAACAACAGACAAAAGAGGGCTAGAAGACATCAACAGGTAAAAGATTCCTCATTATCCCAGCTTCAGGAAGACACCTTTAAATGGAATCTGGGGAAGAGAGCACATCTTAAAACTTGTATTTCAGGAATACAGTACGGGCACAGGGGCATCATTTGGGGAGCAATCTTTAAAAATGTCCTGTTGAAGGCTTTCCTGGCCAGAATCACTGGGTTGCTGTGAGTTTTCCAGGCTGTATGGCCATGTTCCAGAAGCATTCTCTCCTGATGTTTCGCCGACATATATGGCAGGCATCCTTAGAGGTTGTGAAGTCTGTTGGAAACTCTGCAGGAATCTACCGTATACCATGCAGCTGTGGACAAGTCTATATAGGGACCACCAAATGCAGGATTGCCCAAACACAAATCAAGGAACATGAAAGGCACTGCAGACTAATTGTAGTACACCAGAGCAGGAACACCTTTGGCCTTAAATACCACACCAGTTTGGTAAAATCAGCAAGTAGTTTACTGAAGAATATATGTAGACAAAGCAGAAAAAATAGCAAAACAATACAGATTCAGTATATAAAATAGTCCATAAGCTTCAAAGGAAAACAAGGTCCACGAGTACATAAAAATCCATGAAACTAGACACTTGAATCCATGAAGCAAGACAGAAGGAAAATCTCATAGACAAATCTTAAGCTTGGCAAAAACTTGGTACATGAAACACAGAGCACTTGAAAGCAAGACCGTGATAAAATAACAACATTGACCTGACTGAGGCAACTCTCTCCTAAAGCTTTTTTCAGATCTCAAAACTGAAAGGAAAGCATTCTTTTTGACCTTCCCACCAGATAAAGGTTTGTTATCTCCCTTTGCTGTAGATCAGTGGTCTCAACCTGTGGGTCCCCAGGTGTTTTGGCCTACAACTCCCAGAAATCCCATCCAATTTACCAGCTGTTAGGATTTCTGGGAATTGAAGGCCAAAACATCTAGGGACCCACAGGTTGAGAACCACTGCTGTAGATGAACTGATCGTCTCAGTCTCTGAAGACTTTGTCTCTCGTTACTAAAACTTTGTTTTCTGACCAAGCTTTCATTATCTTCTCCCTCCTTAACGTCTGCACCTGACAAATCATTTTCAGACAGTTGTCCTGAGAAAATCTGTGAAGGACCTCTTCCAAGAATATGGCCTTGTGAATCTTCCTGAGATAGCTCAGGTCTCTCTTCTGAGTTTAACTCAGGCCCAAGCAAACCTCCATCTTCAATGCCAACAGACCCAGGCCCAACATCAGGAACATCATCCCCATTCCCATCATGAGCATCAACATGAACATCAGACACAATCACAGGCTGAACAGGCTGACATACAACACTAATTCAACCAGAGAACTCAGACATAGCAGAACACTTGATAAACCAACCTGGTCACAGCATATTATCTGAGAACACAGAAATGCTGGACCACTCTGACAACCACCATGTCAGGCTACTCAGAGAAGCCACTGAAATCCACAAGCATGTGGACAATTTCAACAGAAAAGCGGAAGCCATGAAAACGAACAAAACCTGGCTACCAGTATTAAAATACTCTAAAATCAGGACAGTGAATAATGAACAACACTCTGAAAACGGGGGAATTCCAGTCAAGAAACAATCATGGCCAGCTAACACCTCCCAGAAAGGAATTCCCCAGGCAGGAAGCAGCCGTTCTTTGAAGCTGCAAGGCTTTGCAACACTAATTGCAACATTCACACTTGCCTCCAACAGACAAGAGTTCTTTCTCCCACTGTGGACTTTCCACAGATATATAAACCTTCCCTTGCTTTGTTTCCAATATACCTCACAACCTCTGAAGATACCTACCATAGATGTGGGTGAAACGTCAGGAGAAAATGCTTCTGGAACATGGCCACAGTCTGGAAAACTCACAGGAACTCAATCTTTAAAAATAATACTACTGGCAGATTTTGTAGTTGTAGCCATAGAATTCAGGTTCAGTTTTGCTAAAGATTGAGACATCAATATGTTTGCGTATCTTTTAAAGAAAAGCGGTCCGTGAACAAGACACCTTTCATAGATGCTTTCCATCTTAAATGAAACAAAGATACCAAGGCCCCATCTACACCACCATATAATGCAGTTTGAAATGGCATTATATGGTCAGTGTAGACTCATATAATGTAGTTTCATTAGGTTAAGCTGCATTATGAGTCTATGCCAGGCATGGGTAAACTTTGGCCTTCCAGGTGTTTTGGACTTCAACTCCCACCATTCCTAACAGCCTATCGGCTGTTAGGAATGGTGGGAGTTGAAGTCCAAACACCTGGAGGGCCAAAGTTTGCTCATGCCTGGTCTATGCTAACCATATAATGCAATTTCAAACTGTATCATATGGACATGTAGATGGGGTATGAGTTGCAGACTGGATTCATCTGTCCTACAGCTTGGCTGATTCTAGCAAGACGAATGCCATCCATCCCACACAAGCAGGTTTGGGTGTGGTAGGGCCATATTTAGAGCTAGAACAGAAGAACCTGCTTAAGACCAGATCCAACACAAACAAACTTTGTAAGGATTCATCTCTAAGAAGAAAAGGATCCAGACTGGGATCCTCCCACACTTTACTTCTCCACTACTTTTAAGCAACTCACTTCTGATGCTGGAAGAAAACTAGTCTAAGGAAAACAGTTTAAAGCACCACTGCTTAATGTACCAGTTTATATTTCAAACTGTTTCAAATGTTCAGTTACTAATTATTTCTGCCGCTTACTCCTCTTTTAAGAAAAATACGCATATCTGTGTTGGGTTTTAGCTGGTCATGGTCCAGGATCTGCTTCAACAACTAGGGCTAGGAGCTTTGAATCCAATCACAGGGGAAGAATTTTGTACGAAGCCAGTTCAAACTTATCCAGTTTTTCCAGTTCATTTGATTTTAGTTAGCAAAGCCTGGAAAGTCCAAGGCTTCCAAGGTTGTGGAGAGCTGCTTGCTGTTAGACAACAGTATTTGTTTATTTACTATATTTTTACCCCACCCACTCTCACCCCACAGAGGACTCAGAGCACCTTACAAGTTATATGTACATACAATATATTATATTATTAGCATAGCACAATATAAGTATTATCAATTAGTATATTGTACTATACCACTATACTGCAATATTATTAGTAATCTTACATGTAATATATAATATGTAATTATATTATTATATTGTATTATTAGTATTATATTGTATTATAACATTAGGATCGATATTATATGTACATACAATATATTATTAGCATAGCACAATATTAGTATTATATATTACTATACCACTATATTGCAGTATTATTAGCAATATTACATATAATATATAATATACAATAATTATATTGTATTATTATTAGTATTATATTGTATTACATTATATCATTATCAATATTATATGTATATACAGTATAAAATATTATTAGCATAGCACAATATTAGTATTATATATTACTATATTGTACTATACCACTATACTGCAATATCATTAGTAATTTTATATGTAATATATAACATATATAATTATTATATTATATTATTATTAGGAGTATATTGTATTACAATATTATGAACAATACTATATGTACAATATAATTTTGACATATTATATTGTAAATAGTAAAACAGTACTGGAATACTGATCGGTGGCTGCTCAGGTACAAGTTAGACACTTACATTCCTTGTGATTCCTGACTAATGGAAAACTTAATGAACCATAGACAGCCTTTGTGTGTTTGAGACCAAGAGGTAGGGTTTCCAAGCCTGGTGGTTTGGACGGCAGGTAGCACTGGGGCTTAAGCCGTGGTTCTCAACCGTGGGTCCCCAGATGTTTTGGCCTTCAACTCCAGAAATCCTGGGATTTCTGGGAGTTGTAGGGCAAAAAACCTGGGGATCCACAGGTTGAGAACCACTGGCTTAAGCTGTCTTATTTAACCATACAAAGCCCATGAAGTTGAAAGGGACGTCGGCAAAGGTTCACCTGCTCAGCAGCCAGTGCCTCACTGTAGCACTCCAGGAAGTTGCCCACCATGACAGAGCCTACAATAGTGAGGCCCTTGCCAGCTTTCAGCTGGGAGGCAAAGGTGAGCAGGCGTGGATGCTTCACGTGCAGGTCCTCATCCAGCTTTAGCAACACCAGGAGCTGTGGCCTAGGAAGAAAAGGATGCCCAAGATGCACATATGAAGGTGAAGTAGCAGGATGAGTTTAGGCTGTTACACCGAAGCACAGTTCCACAAACACAAATGGAGCAGTTGATAGCACAACACACACACACGAATGCGTAGAGACAGAGATACATACACACACGTGCAGAGGTCTCTGCCTCGTGTACCCCACAACGAGGCAGCGGAGTCAAGAAGCAGCATGTTTGTTCCCTACCTCCAGTTCTTGGTGTGGGGTGGCCCTTCCTCAAGGCGCAGCAAGGCAAAGCGGGCTGCGCTCAGGGACAGGCCACGGATGCCGTCTCCCCACTCCTTCTCAGCCCTGGGAGGGATGCACAAACCGTTCAGCTAAATTCGGAGCAAATCACATAACGTTCCTCCTTTTCCAGAATCCATTGAGGGGTGGAGTAAAAGGGCCACAGGTGATCATGCACAAGGGAGAAGAAGTGTTGTGATTCCCACCCTCACTACCGCTGAGTTCTGAATCATTCAGCCTTTCACAGAGATCTTGATTCAAAATATCTATGAAAGTGATTACATTTTGTCGAAGGCTTTCATGGCCGGAATCACTAGGTTGTTGTAGGTTTTTTGGGCTATATGGCCATGTTCTAGAGGCATTCTCTCCTGATGTTTCGCCTGCATCTATGGCAAGCATCCTCAGAGGTATTGACCTCACCACCTCTGAGGATGCTTGCCATAGATGCAGGCAAAACGTCAGGAGAGAATGCCTCTAGAACATGGCCATATAGCCCAAAAAACCTACAACAACCCACAGTGATTACAGTTTTCCCATTAGGGAGAGAGATCAGCAAAAATCCTGATCCTGCTTGTTCTGCCAGTGAAGAGAAAGATCCCAAGGATTTTAGCTGCAGCAATCTATTTCTGAGAGTTGAAAACATAATTCACAAACCCACAACCACACTTTTGCCTTACGATTTCAACCAGAGTGCAAACTGGGACAGAGAAACCAAAGATTATGCACACTTCCCATTACAGACCGGGTGGGTAATTACAGGGATAAGGAAGGATCTCGACTCAAGGAAAAACGAGGCTATGCAAAGGTGGGGTCCGGATCCCAGGGCTTCCAAACACTAAAATGGAACTCACCCGTGGTACTCAATATATTTGTAAATCATCCCAGCTATCACCATGGCGACAATGGCATAATACCAGGAGGAAATGAACATGAGAGCCACACAGATACTCATGCCCATGAAGGAGAGTGCCCTGCAATGAGAGAGAAAGGGAAGGACCCTATTGTTAAGGAAAACTACCCTAAAATAATTCAGAGCATCAAAAAATAAACAGGACACTTAAAGTTGAGCATTCAGCTCACTAGCGAGCAGAGCGTTAAGTGCCGTGTGGCTGTAAATAATTCAGTGCTTAGGAGTTCAATCTTAAAAAATCACAAAAGGTTTATTTACAATAATATGAAATAACTGCATTTCTCAATAAATCAAGAACTGGGTCTGAGCTACACCAACACTCAACTCCTCTAAGATTTCAAGAGAGGGAAAAACTCAATCACTACATCTCTCCTGACACACAAGCAGAGAGAGATCTCAAAGCACACAGCACTTACTCTCCATACTAGTGTAAAAGGCAGACGTTAGCTTGCACTGGAAAACTGTCCATTTTAAACAACCAATGAGAGCAGAAAGAGATAATTAAAATTATACATCCCCTACTGTCATTCAGGAGACATGGGGGAAGGAAAACCTTTACTCTATACTTGTCGTACACCAGAGCAGAAACACCTCTGAAGATCAAATTATGGTCTGATTTCACCAGCTTGGTAAAATCAGCAAGCAGTTTATTGAAGGATATATATAGGCAAAGCAGTAGAAATAGCAGACATTGTAAAGGTCCAATACAAGGAAAATAGTCCATAAACTTCAAAGGAAAACAAGATCCAAAAGTACATAAGAAGTCATGAAACTTGGCACTTGAATTCGTGAAACTAGACAGAAGGAAAATCTCATACACAAAGCTGGAGCTTGGCAAGAACTTGGTACATGAAACTTGAAAACAAGAACATGATCAAATTCCAATGTTGACCTGAATGAGGCAACTCTTTCCCATGCATCAATATAAGGCTTTTCCAGGTTCCAAAACTGAAAGGAAAGCTTTTCTCTTGACCTTACTACCAGATAACGGTTTGTTATCTTTCTTTTGCTATAAGAAAATGGAGGGTCTGAGTCTTTGAAGACTCTGTCTGTTTACAGAAACTTTGCTTTCTGTCTTGGCTCTCATTACCAGCTCTCTCTGAACTCTCATTATTTTTCTGCACCTGAAAAATCATCTCCAGGCAGTTGTTCTGAGAAAAGCTGTGAAGGGCCTCTCCCAAGAATGTGGCCTTGTGAATCTTCCTCTTCCTGAAACAGCTCAGGCCTCTCGTCTGAGCTTAACTCAAGCCCAAGCAAACTGTCATCCCCAAAGCCACCATCAGGAACATCATTCTCATTCCCATCATGAACATAAGCATTAACATGAACATCAGACACAATCACAGGCTGAACAGGCTGACATACAACAGTACTAAACTAACTAAACTGTTCTTCATTGAGGACTTGAGACTTTGGGAAGTGAGGGGTTGAATTCCAACACCTATTAGAGGCCAATAGAATTACAATTAGTTGTTTCTGCTGCTTCAAGGCATGATGAGGTATTTACAATGACGATTTCTGATTCTACATTAAAACTGAGTCAGACCCAAAAAACACTCCGTTCCCCAATTCCATTTAACCTGCAGACCCTATTCTCCTGGTACAACTAGGTCCAAAACCTGCAGGTCTACCTCCTATCACAGCCGTATAAGCACGGTATTATTTTTCCCTCTCCCTCTATCCATTATTACAGCACTCTTACCAGTGGTAGTACCGAAAGCGTGGTCTCCAGTTGGGGGTACGCAACAGGGTTTGTAAGGCACAGGCCAGGTTGACAAAGAGGTAACACATTAGGAAAAACCTAAGAGGAAAAGAGCAAATGGAGTCAGTGGTGCTGTGTATCCTGGGAATCCCAACCCATAATAGATATCAACACTTACATGGAAAGAATAGGGGCAACCATGTCCAAAGAGGCAATCAGGATCCCCAATTCTGCAATGCCTGCTGTCAGGAGCAAAGCCCAGGTAGGCTCCCCATTGGCTTTTCCGTGGCCAAATACCTAGAGTGTGTAAAGGAGACAGACCACACAGGTTAGATACCAGCTCCTCAGATCAAAAATGTGCTTTAATGATTGATGAGACAATGTAATGACGTTGCTCTTACCCTCAGAAAAGGTATAATGTTGTCCTTGGCTATTGCCTGCAACAGTCGGGGTGCGCCAGTGAGGCTTTGGAGCCCAGCTCCACATGTGGAGAAGAACGAACCAATGACGATGACCCATGGAGAAGGCCAGGACAGCGTCCCCACTACTAGGTTCCCCTTCACCGAGTCACCAAACCTATCCAATAAAGGCAAATAATAACACCATCTGCTGCCTTCCTAAGGTTGAGACATGCAGTAAAAACAAAACACCCAACTGCAGCCAACACTGTCACAACATTGCATCCATAAAGAACCGCCCCAGAGAACCGTTATGAGTGGTCAGGGGATTTTAAAACCCTGTTCAGCCAGGTTTGTTGTGAAGAATTTTTAGGTTCTTTGAGGATAAAGTCACTCTGATCTTCTCTGACTCAGATGCCAGTGTTAATGCAGTCCCTGTGAATGTGACTGAGGCACCTGCTTGTCTCTGTTTAATGGATTCTTTTCAGCTTGTGCAGTTCAAGGATGTGGACAAGATCTTAGGAGAAATGAGGCCAACCACCTGCACTCCTTAATAGCAAAAGGTGTCACCTCAACATCTTTAAACTTATTCGCCCAACAACGCACAGTACTCACATCAACACAATTACCACAAACAGCTTGCATTCTCTGATTAATCTCCTTTGGGTTGACACCTTCTGCTGTCAAGAATTCAATGACTGAACGTTGCTTAAGTCGCACTGAGTGACCGTCTGCGCAGGGTTCCATACTTCGCACTTTAACAACACAACCATTCAATGCTAAGGCTTTCCACCAAAATGGAACTGTAGAGGAGAATCTACTGAACAAGCCAGTACCTGCTGCATACCAGTACTGCCATCTGTTGAGGAGTTACAAAGCTAGAGGCATTACTTTTCATTCAACCCTCGTATTTTGGGATTGCATTATTAGGGAAATGCAAGTCAGTACTACTTACTTGTCTCTCAGGACAACACCTTCCACACAAGCCCCAAACAGTACTACATTGCTAAGATCTGGCGTGACGAACCATTAAGGATAGTAAGTGATTTTTGCCCAGCATAAAGTAAATGAGTACCCACTCTGCTTTACATGCACAAGCTACCCTCAATATTGTATTTCTCTTTCTTACTGACTCTATGTTGCTTTGTTCATTTTCTGAGAAGGATACACACAAAAGAAGTGGTGAGGATGGCCAGAATGGTACCAATGGGAATAGATTTTTGGGCATCTTTCAGGTCCCCAGAACGATTTGATCCAGCCATGATTCCTGTGAAGATAAAACATTGGGTGACTCAGTTATTGATAGGTGAAGACAGCAACGGTGACACCTGTGAAACCTGCACCAAGGCCATGAGGAAACCCATATTTGGGAGCTCAAGAAAATCAAATTCTATAATTGATTTACTGTAAAGATCCCCCAACAGAACCTTTCTAAAGAGGGCCCATTACCGTGGTTTGGGCTAAACACCAGCTGAAGCTCACCCCATATGTAACCTCAAGAAGGGGTAAGCCTCATTCCTCCAGACCAGGGGTTCTCCCAACTTTTTCAGGTGCAGAGCCCTTTTTGAAGGAAAAGTTTCTCAAGGAGTCCAAAGAAATGTCTTTATATTATATATTATACTAGCTGTACCCGACCACGCATTGTTGTGGCCCAGTTTGGTTAAATGGAAAAGAAATAAAAGAGAAAGAGGTGGGTTTCTAATTCACAATGCTTGTGGGTATACAATATTTTTTGTTGTTCCATATTTTTACCTGTCACAGGTGTGACATCGATATAATAGGAGGTATGTGGAAACATAAAAACATGCACCTATTTGAATGCTACATTGTGTCAATATTTCAAAGCACTTGGTGAAGTGTTTAGGGAGATTTAAGGTTTGGAGCAAACAAACATTTACATGTTTAATTATATACATATTAGTCCATATAATAATAATAATCCTGGTTTATTTATTTATTTATTTACAGTATTTATATTCCGCCCTTCTTACCGCGCAGGGGACTCAGGGCGGATTACAATGTATCTATACGTGGCCAACATTCAAACATTCAATGTCATAGACACACAACATATATAGACAGACACTCTATTTAACATTCCAGCTTCTAGCCACCAGGGGAGCTGTCGCTTCCTCATTCTTTACATACTTCCTGGAGATTTTTATAGCCTCGTAAATCAGTTAAAATTAGCTTCCCCACATAAGTGGTACCTAAATTTCCTACTTGACAGATGCAACTGTCTTTCAGGCTGCAAAGGTCGACAACAAGCTACACAATTTTGGTCGGGAACTCACTCCGACCCAGGCTGGCTTCGAACTCATGACCTTTCGGTCAGTAGTGATCTTAATGCAGCTGACTCCCAGCCAGCTGCGCCACAGTACAAAATAGAATACACCCCCACAAGCCCCAGAACATCCTAGAGTATAGCCCTGAGTGTAATCTGGAGCGCTGTGTAAGCAATGAGGTATTTCTTCATAAGGGAAGAAATATAACAACAATAACATTTATTTATTTATTTATTTATTTATTTATTTATTTATTTACTTCACTTGTATACCGCTATTCTCAGCCCTTAGGCGACTCATAGCGGTTAACAACAATAATAGCAAAAATTAAATGCAGCATAACAAGGTATTTAAAACCAATTAACACAATAGCAGACTAAGCAATTAAACAACAATAAACATTCATTCATTGGTGTCTCATAACTAGAATCATGATCCAAACTCGTCGTCCATAGTTCCATTTCCTAAAATTCATTGCACTGCCTATTCAAACGCCTGTTCAAATAACCAGGTTTTCACTTTTCTCCGAAATACCATCAATGAGGGAGCCGATCTAATGTCCGTGGGAAAGGCGTTCCACAGCCATGGAACAATGGTATGAATAATAATACTGGTCTATATAATAATAATCTATGTAAATAAAAATGTAAATATCTGTTTGTGAATAACCTCAAATCTCCCAAAATATTTCACCAATTGCTTCGAAATTTGGGCACAACGTAGCATTCAAACAGGTGAAGGTTTCCTGTTTTCACATACCTATGATTATATAGATGTCACACCTGTGACAGGTAAAAACATGCTTTGCATCAAAAACAGTGCCATCTGCTGGACGGCCAAGCAAGGGCAGGTAGGGAAATCCAAGTCGGGGAGAGGGGCAGAGAAGGAAGGGGGCAGGCAAGGAGGTAGACCCAGCCCAAGCCCAGAGCTCCGGTAGCCTCATGCCCTGCCTGGTGTTTTCTGGCACCGTCTCACACCCACGCCTCCAGGAAGACTAGAAACTCAGAACGAAGAAACGATTGAATGGTAGGCTTGTCTTAAGGCCTCCTTGAAGCACAGTTTAAGAACTAGACAAAGAGACTTCAGCCACAAAGATGTGTTAAGAAGATAACATTTTCAGATTCAGCATCGGTGGCCTACTTTTCTGATGCTCTACAGAAATGTGAACTATTTTCAGTTATGGAATAGCTCTTACCAGTGACAGAGGGGAAGAAGATGCCCACAAGAAGGGTGAAAGAGGTTGTGATGTCAGCCAGCACGTACTGCTGATTGAGGGCTCCTCCTGCATCAACCGAGTGCAATGAAGGTTTCTCAATGATCTCTCCTTTCATCAGATAGCTGCTCCAAAGGTTCTCTGAAATTATTATTATCAGCAACAACATCATCCACAGCATCAACATCCTCCTTTCTCTCTTCAATTCTAAGAAGCTAAGCATACTAAGCAAACTTCTTCTCACTATCTGCTCAACAATCCTCCTGGCTATAGACTTGCTACCTGGTGAGATTAGGCAAGCCCCCACCCTAGCAGCCTTTAAAAAAGATCTAAGGGCTTGGCTTTTCCGATGTGCCTTTGGAGAGTGACCATATATTCCATTTTTGTTGTTCCACCTACAATGTTTTGCACTTTGACCCACCCTATTGAAAGTTTAACTCCACTGTTCGGTCCCCTATGAGCTCCTTCCCTACAAATTGCACTTTTCATTGCTATCTCATCCAGAGTTTTATCGTTTTAAGTCATTTGGCTCGCCCACTGTGTTTGAATTTCTGTTATGTTATTTTGTATTATTTATTTTATTTGATTGGTTTATTTTTACTGTGATGTTATTTTGTTGTTTATATTTTATGTTGCTGTACTGAATTGCTGGGCCAGGCCACATGTAAGTCACTCCAAGTCCCCTTTGGGGAGATGGTGGCGGGGTATAAATAAAGATTATTATTATTATTATTATTATTATTATTATTATTATTAAGCTGAGAGATGCTGACTGAACCCAGTAATGGGGTGCGTAACTGTGGACGGCTAAAGGATGGTACTAACCATTGAATAGCCATACCCTCACCATATTACCTACAAGGAAATGTATTTTTTTCATCTCTCAAATACTTTATATGGGGTGTAGGATGCATTTTCCCATATTTTAGGGCCAGAAGAGGGTTTTCTTTAAAAAGGACAGCAAGTAAACAGAAGCTATTTCTAGTCCGTAGTTTTTCTTAATGTCTTCTCTTAGGCCTGGAGGATGAAAACTGGAGAAAATGCCTCCAGATGTGTTCGAGCAACACATCTGGAGACCCACAGGTTGAGAACAACCGCCCTAGAGATTCTGCACTTCTGCCTCATTATGACAGCATGCAGGACACCTTTGGGTCATCTCACAATGAGAAACATAGTGCTAGATTGAGATAGAAGAAAACATTGAATTGGGGACCCCTTCCCCCAGCACCAACTACCGCCCTGGGCCAGAGTGAAGGGGTGGGGGCAGAGGACAGTTCCATCTTGTCTCCTGCATATGTCATCAGTTGGGGACCCCTCCCCCCATCACCAACTGCTGCTCTAGGCCAGAATGAAGAGAGAGGGGTCCAGAAGACAGTTCCACCTTGTCTCCTGTGCTATGCTAATAATATAATGTAATGTAATATCATATATTGTATATAGTTATAATATTTATAATATTATAATGTAATATAATACTACTAATAATATTATATTATAACTAGCCGTCCCCTGCCACGCGTTGCTGTGGCCCACATGGGGGTTCTGTGTGGGAGGTTTGGCCCAATTCTATCGTTGGTGGTTTCAGAATGCTCTGTGATTGTAGGTGAACTATAAATCCCAGCAACTACAACTCCCAAATGTCAAGATTCTATTTTCCCCAAACTCTACCAGTGTTCACATTTGGGCATATTGAGTATTCGTGTAGAGTTTGGTCCAGATCCATCATTGTTTGAGTCCACAGTGATCTCTGGATGTAGGTGAACTACAACTCCAAAACCAAAGGACACTGCCCACCAAACCCTTCCAGTATTTTCTGTTGGTCATGGGAGATCTGTGTGCCAAGTTTGGTTCAGTTCTATCATTGGTGGGGTTCAGAATGCTCTTTGATTGTAGGTGAACTATAAATCCCAGGAGCTACAACTCCCAAATGACAAAATCAATCCCACCCTCAATCGGTTGTTAGGTGCCTTGTGTCAAAATTTGGGGTCAAATTGTCCAATAGTTTTTGAGTTCTGTTAATCCCACAAACGAACATTACATTTTTATTTATAGATTATATATTTTATATTACATGCAATATTATTAATAATATTGCAATACAGTGGTATAGTACAATTTAGTAATATATAATACTGATATTGTACTATGCTAATAATTTAATATATTGTTTGTATATATATCTTGTAAGCCGGAGTGAGAAGGGCAGCATATAAATGTCGTAAATAAAATAAAATAAAATAAAATATTTTCCTCACCAGTGATAATACCACTGGCCAATCCTGGAATACCCTGAATAACGGTAACATTGTTGTGCAGAAAATAATCATCACAGGAGGCATTGAGGCGCTTGGTTGAGTTGCAGAAGGAATCCCATAGGCGAGTGTGTACTGTGATGTTGTCCCGCTCCTCCGTCTTTGCGCATTTGTCAATCTGGTGTTGGGAGAGGGAACGGTTCCCCAGCATACAGACACTGGATGGGGAGGAGACACAGAAAAATGAGCAAAATAGAGATCACAGTGGTGGAGTACCAGCATATATACTAGCTACAGAGTCCTGACTCTATGGAACTGTAAATGTACTGAGAGCTCCGTGGTCTTGCCGAACCGTCTACCAGGTTTCCTTGCCAAGAGCAGAAAATTAAAAACACCATAGCAGAACTGGATTTCCCAACATTAATTGGTAGGCTGATGAAAAGTGAAGGTGACACTAACCTTCTCCGAGCAAACTATTAACTTACGGGAAATTAGGAGGTGCGAAGGAGGACTTGATGGCACCAGCGTAGATGGCGAGGATGGAGACGATGACGCAGGCGAGAAAGAGAGAG